ATGGGTTAGAAGCCCCTTTCTTTTTTTTTTGTATAAAGAATTTTTATTTTTTTTAACTTTCTTTTTTATTGAATTTATTGGGGTTACATTGGTTAATAAAATTATATAGGTTTCAAGTGTACAATTATAATATATCATCTGTATATTGTATTGTATATTCACCATCCAAAGTCTAGTCTCCTTCCATCACCATTTATCCCCCATTTACCCTCTTCTACCTGTTCCCACGCCCTGCCGCCACCTTCTTCCATCCCACCCTCACTCTTCAAATACACTCCTCCCTCCCTCCTCTGTCCTCTGGTCTGAATCCCTGTCCCTTCACTTGACTAGTAGCTCTGGCTTCACATGCAGGGAACCTCATGACCCAGAACCCTAGCTGCCTGGGGTTTCCTCTGCCCACACCAGAGTCCCTGTCAAATGCTAACATTAAGTCTTTTCCTCTTATTTACATAGATGTATGGTCCTCAGCTTGCTTATAAAACACCTTGCAAGGACCGAGAGCTGGGTGAAGGCTTCTCCCTCAGGGACATTTTGATGAATGGCAGACATTTTCTAGGAATGAATTGGACGCAGACCCAGTTCTTGAGGTGTTCCTTTTCCCTACAGCTGAAAGACCAAATAGTTAACTGGACAACTCCAGTCACTCCTTCAATAAGTGATTTTTTAGTTACTGTGTGCCAGGTAATCAAGACAGATGCAGCCTCTGATGTTGGACCCAGGCCACTATAGCACACTGTGATATCACTGGACTTCTCATCCATCCTGAGGAGTGAGGTGGTTCAGGAATGACTTGTCCAGGGAAGTGACAAGTGAGGCCGTGAGGCTCAGTAGTGAGCACTGGGGCAAGAGCTGTGAGGCTGTATTGCAGGCCCCTCAGAGAAAGCAGAACTTTAGGCAGTGCACAATGGAAACGAGGAGCCCTGAGAGGTAAGGCTGAAGAGGCCTTGGCAGGAGCTCATCTTAGAAGTCGTGATCTAGGTCATTGGTTCTCAAAATGTGCTCCCTGGACCAGCAATACCAGCTCTTGCTGGGAATTTGTTAGAGATGCAAACTCTGAGGCGCTATCCCAGACCTAGGAGTGGAGCCCAGAACTCTGTTTTAACAAGCTCTCCATGTGGCTCTGATGCTTACTCCAGTTTGAGAGGCTCCCATTTAACTGTGTTAAAGAGCTGGGCTGTCTCTGAAGCAGTGAGGAGTTGTTGGAGGGTTCAGGCCAGAAGCAGCCTGGGGAAAATGGAGAGTGGGTAGGGTGGGCAGAAACACAGCGCAGAAGTAGAGACAGTGGTGGCAACCATAGTAATAAGGGACTAGGTGAGAGGTGCTGGTGACCTGGCCAAGGCAGTGGCAGGGGGACCAAAGGAAGTGGACAGATGAAGACACACTACACTGAGGGTAAAAACAAAACAGGATTTGGTGGATATAGTAACTAGTGGGCCCTTTGCTGAGGTAAAGGACCCAGTAGCAGATCTTTAGGGTCTGAGGTTGGGGAGCTTGGGTTCTTCATGAGGAGAGGCAGTGTGGATGGTGCCCGCAGGGGTACACTAGGCCCAGAATGAGAGATCTAGGTGACCTTGGGTGTCATTTAATCTCTCTAAGCCAAGTGTTCTCATCTGTTAAATGGGGAAAATGCTAACGCAGGTCTCAGGATAACTGCAAGAATGACCTGTGGTGTCCAACCCTCGGGCAGGGAGCACCTTGGGGACACACACATCTGCATCCTTAGCTCAGAAGCCTCGAGAAACACTAATGTTTGTTGAGCATCTCCAAGCCCTTTGCACAGATTAGCTCAATCTTCACCATGGTCATCGAGGAGGAGACTGAGGCAACATGTAGTTTAAGAAACCCACTGCCCTGGGCCTGTCTTTCATCCCCTCTACTGTGCTCCCAGTGAGTATATGGCCTCAGAAAACTGTGCAAAGCAATATGCTTACAAACTCTACAAATAAATCAAGATTGAATCTTAAAAAATGTTCAAATAACCCGCATAGAGGTAAGAAACGAGAAAGAGGAAACAAATCATAAAATGGCAGACGTAAGGATGAGTCTGTCTGTACGTACCACTCCTAGCACAGCCGGAGTCTGACACGGAGCAGGTATTGGCTATGAACGATTTGGAGAGGCTGGGGAAGGTGGGTGGCTGTGTACAAGGCCACAGCAGGGTCTGCTGGAAGCATGAGAGGCCCAAGGATCAAAGGGACAGCTCCTTGGGGAGCCCTTGAGCAGCTTGGCCTATTCACTTGGTCAGGAAGTGAAGTTGGAAAGACCTGCATGACTGACCTGATGATGATGGATTGAGCACCTACTGGGGGTTAGATTAGATGGATTGAGCAACTCCTGTGGGCCAGATGCTGGGCAGGAGGCAAGCCTCAGGCAGGGTCTCGCCCACTCAAACTGAGCATTGGTGCTAGTGTAGGGTCAGAAGGCCAGCTCAGCTGTGAGACTTCCTCTCATGGACACACAGTGGCATAGTCTCAAATGCAGCAGTGGTTCCTGCTTCTTGGCTGAGGGGCCACAGCAGCACTCAGCTGCTCTTGGGTGTGGCCTGCCCCAAACTGCCATAATGCCCAGCCAGCTGTGCTGGGCCACTGAGGGCAGGGTCTCTGTCCTTTTTTCCTGCTTAATCTTGGGGCTGCCATCCCATTTCTTCACCCTGTAGCCTTTTCCCACTCTTGAGCTGTGCGCTCATGGCCAGAAAGGCCAGGACCTTGGTGGGAAGGCACAGGAAGGCACATTTTGGCTACAAGCTGGCCAGTCTGCCCAGTGTCCCCATGGCTGCCAAGTCCTCATGTACAGGCTTACGTGCACCAGGCTTTTCACTTACAGCTCACTTGTCATGTAGGGGAAGGTGTTTTGACACAGACTTTGGATTCAGACTCAGGGTAAATCTTAGCTGTGTGACCTGGGGCAAGTTCATTTTCCTCTCTGAGCTGGACTCCTCCTCTATCAAATGGACTGCCTAGTGAGAAAGTACTGTTGAAGATCACACAAGATTCTGCATGGAAAGGGCCCAGAACAAGGCCTGACATACAGTAGACAGGCCTTGGTAGGTATTTCTATTTCTTTTTTTTTTTTATCCTCACCCGAGGACATTTTTCCTTTTTTTTTATCCTCACCCAAGGACATTTTTCCATTTTTTGTTCAGATAGAGTGGGAGGGAGAGAGAGAAAGAGAAAGAAAGAGAGAAATATCAATGTGAAAGGGACACATCGAGTGGCTGCCACCTTCACGACCAAACAGGGCTGGGAACACACTGCAACCGAGGTACGTGCCCTTAGCGGGAACCGAACCCGGGTCTCTCTGGACCTCAGGCCGACGCTGTAACTGCTGAGCCAAACTGGCCAGAGCAGGTATTTCTATTTCTAATTCAACATCACCTCCAGCCCCAGAAATGCTTTTTCTGACCCAGAGTTGTTCCTACTCTGCAGGCCAAGGGGCCCCCTAGTTAGTAACAACTTCCTCAGAGCATTCCTGAAAATTCCGGTGGGCTCAGGAAAAGAAGAACAGATTTAGTTAACTCCTAGTGACTGGCAGCATATTTTTATCTGGGCTGCTTCAGTCACCATGGCAGCCTCAAGGCAGGGTCGCGGAGGGGGTGGGTGGAGCTATTGTTCCTGCCATTGTCTGTTCTGGAATGCAGGCCCAGGAGAAAGGGGCTGGCACAGCCACCAAGTGGCACATGGCACAAGGCAGCTGTGTGGTCTGACAGGAGCCCCCTTGGGGTGGCCTGCACTGGCTTCCCCTAGCTTGCTGCCAGACCAATCTGAGATGGCTTGATGTGGAGCCCCCAGCTTGGGGCTCAGGCCTACCATGGCCTCCAGAGCTGAATGTTTATGTGCCTTGAACATGCTGAGGATAGGGGTATCCATGAGGCTCCTGGAAAAAGCCTACAATGTAGCATAGGCAGCAGCAATCTTCCACCCCAGGCTAGGGTTTTATAGCCAGGCTTGAATTTAAATTACAGCACTGCCACCTGCCATCTACACAGCTAATTGCTTCCCCCTTCCTTATCTGTAAAACAAGGATAATTACATTACCCCAAAGGGTTGTATATGAAAGCCCCTGGGTGTAAGGCATTCAAGAAGGGCTCATTTCTTTTCTGTGGGTGTGATGAACAGTCGCCTGGCACGTGTCACTCAGCAATCAGAGTTCCCTCCTACATACCTCTTAGGATGCAAGGCTCCCCTTTTCAACCCTGGCTGTGGAGGGGAGTTGGAACGAGAGGTGTCTGTCAGGAGTGATGCGGGACCAGGCGGTACTGAAGACGAGCTACTTTTCCTTCCCTCTGCGGAAAGGGAAAGGAATTGAGGGGAAGCGACCCAATATCTTGGAGCTAGAACTGCAGGGCTAAATGGGGCTGCGCAGGGGTAGGAGGCAAAAGAACTGGGATGTGACGGGCAGAGGTGCGTAGAGGAAAAGGAAGAGGGAACAGCCCACGCTGGGCGGGCATTCGGCGCAGACAAAGGCAGGTGACATGCAGTAGCAGCTAGAACCACCCGCCCAAGCCCCTCTACAGGAGGGGCGACAACTGGGAGGTCGCGGTGCGGGCTGGGATGTTCCATGCTTTGGGCAGCCACGGGTGGGAGCGGGTATAAGACTTAGAGCGCCAGGGGCTGCTAGGCGCACAGGGGTGAATCTGGACACCAGTGGCTGCTTGTGGGGCTCTAGAAGGTGAGCCACCCTTTCCCCGCCGCCAAGCGACGGAACAGTGCCAGGGGATGCGGGTGGCGAATCTCACTTGTGCAGAGGCTGAGTCTGGCCTTCGCGCGCCCCCTGCCGACCCGCGTAGGGTTCCCTCGGCTCCGCCGCAGCGGCCAAATCTCAAACCCGGGAAAACCCTACTAGGGAAAACCTCAGGGTATGACGTCACCCTCCTCAGTGACGCTACTGGCCCCCCGGGGAGTGCGGAGGTTCCGGCAAAGGAGGCATTCCCGGGGACTAAGCAGGGTACAGGCAAGTCGTCGGGGGCTGCAGCGCCTTCACTGTGCCTGTGTCTGTCCCATAGGTCCCGCGCGGCCCCGGGTGAGGCCTGACCGCGCGCCCGCCGGCACCATGGGAAGGAGCGGGCACCGATGCTGCTGCCCCCCGCCGGCGCGCGCACGACTTGAGCCCCGCCGCAGGCAGCCCCCGGCCGCAGGTCCCCGAGTGACTCTGGCGGCGCCTGCGAGCGTGGCGCGGGCCCGGGGCCACGTAGAGGAGCCCAGTGTCTAGTGAAGCAGACGAGGACCCAACGCTCGCGCCGCAGCCATGGTTATGTCCCAGGGCACCTACACGTTCCTAACGTGCTTCGCTGGTTTCTGGCTTATCTGGGGGCTCATCGTCCTACTGTGCTGCTTCTGCAGCTTCCTGCGCCGCCGCCTCAAACGGCGCCAGGAGGAGCGACTGCGTGAGCAGAACCTGCGCGCCCTCGAGCTGGAGCCCCTCGAGCTCGAGGGCAGCCTGGCGGGGAGCCCTCCGGGCCTAGCGCCGCCGCAACCACAGCACCGCAGCCACCTAGAAGCGCCGGCGCATGCGCACCAGCACCTGCATATACACCCGCTACTGCATCATGGGCCTGCGCAGCCACACGCACATCCGCACGCACACCACCACGCGCTGCCGCACCCGCCGCCGCCGCCGCCGCCGCCGCACCTCTCTGTGCCGCCCCGTCCTTGGAGCTACCCGCGCCAAGGTAAGTGCGAGGCTTACCGGGGTGGGCGGGGCGGTTGACCCGCCCTTTTTCACTGGACGGATTTCCCCAACCCAGGAGGGAGCGGGCTGGGCCTGGGGTTGGCGGCTGGTTAAGTTTTGTGTGGGAGGCTGGGGTCGGGTGGCCTCACGCCCTCGGGCTGCTTCCCACTTCCCAGCGGAATCGGACATGTCCAAGCCTCCGTGCTACGAAGAGGCGGTGCTGATGGCCGAGCCGCCGCCGCCCTACAGCGAGGTGCTCACGGACACGCGCGGCCTCTATCGCAAGATAGTCACGCCCTTTCTGAGCCGCCGAGACAGCGCGGAGAAACAGGAGCAGCCGCCGCCCAGTTACAAGCCGCTCTTCCTGGACCGAGGCTACACGTCGGCGCTGCACCTGCCTAGCGCCCCGCGACCCGCGGCGCCCTGCCCTGCACTCTGCCTGCAGGCGGACCGCGGCCGCCGGGTCTTCCCCAGCTGGACCGACTCGGAACTCAGCAGTCGCGAGCCGCTGGAGCACGGAGCTTGGCGCCTGCCGGTCTCCATCCCTTTGTTCGGGAGGACTACAGCCGTATAGATGGGCGCCCGGCGACCCGAGCCCCGACAGTGGACTCCTGGCCTGACTGCGGGGCTTTTTAAATGTTTCCCTTGGACTGCGGGGGGTGGGAGGGATTTCTTACCCCGTTTGTTACATTTTGAGTATAATAAAGGTGTGTGATCTGGTTTGATACAAGCGGAGGGGACACCCACTGCTTGCGCCCAAGGTTCTGGTGGCCAGGTGTGCCTGGGCCTTGGCGGGAGGAAAGCTGAAGGCGCTTTTTAGCTGCTAAGTGGTTGAAGGATGCAGAACTAAACCTGAGGTCAACCTGCTTCCCCCAAGAGCCTCAGACCCCACCTTCCCTGCTCATGAAATCACGATGAGGGCGCTCCTTGCGGCCTTGGAGGTGGCAAGAGTTGGAAAAGGGGGTCAAGGCAGGCGGCCCAGAAGCAGGCCCAAAGGATCTGGATTTCTTTATTAATAGACATGAGCACGACCCATTACAGAAGTTTGTGCTTTCCAAAAAACAGTTAGTTACTGAATGTGAAAAAGGAACTCAAGCAAAAAGGGAGGAGTTGGGGAGGGGCTACCCAAGCCCCAGGCCCCACCCATAGCCCTGACCAGAAAGGAGCCTAAGGCCTCCGGCTTGGGACCCGCCCAGCAGGAGGGGCCCCAGGTGGGCCTGCTACTTCTTTTGGGGCAGGTAGGTAGAGGTCAAGAGAAGGGCAGGGAGAGGGTCCCAGGGAGCCAGAACCCGCGAGCCATTTATTGCCATGTTTTCAAATTCGTGCAAAATATCTGAAGCCCTGGACAGAAAATACAAAGTGGTATTTTTCCAAGAAACATAAAACTAGGAAAAGAGGTGGGGGACATTTACCCACCAGAGCTCCCCCTTCACCAGGCCCCAACAGGGTGAGGCCTCCACCCTGGCCAGCTGAGTGAGCAGGGAGGACTAAGCAGGGAGGACTAAGCGCTACAATCTGGACGGGGCGGGGAGGGGGTGGAATTTGCAACAGCGTCTCAACTACCAACGGGAGGAAAACCAGTCAACTGTACAAGTCTCCTATCAACTTTTTTTTTTAAAAAAAAAAAAGAAAGAAAAGCTGTAAAAGTCAGGCCCTGTGGGTAAGGAAGCGTCCAAGTCCCCGGCCAGGGCCGGAATCCGGAGTGGGTGCCAGGCGGAGCTGCTTGGAGTACAGGCGCGGCGGGCCATCTGGCCAGAGGCCGGCACAGGTGGGTGACCTTGGCAAGGGCAGCCTGAGGGCAGGCGCCACTACTAATTGCCACCCTCGAAGCCCTCCTCTTCCGGGACTGGGTCTGCATCCCAGCAGGTGATGTCGATTTCTAAGGTGTTGGGAACGGAGGGGAGTTAAGGAGATGGCCAGCAGATCCACGGCTGTGTTCCCAACCCCTGGGAACTGTGCCAGCTATGTAGGGGGAAGGGTGCCTGCCCAAACTTGAACCCAGCATCCCCTCCCTAATTCCGACCCACCATCCATACCCGCACTACCTGGAGGCTTAGCGTACAATACAGGAGGCGGAGCTTTTGCACACAGATCTTCTGATTGGGCGAACTCCTCCTCCTGTGATTGGCTGAAGTACCCCTCACTAGCCTGCAAGGAAGAAAGCACCAGGTTACTGTGGCCCCACCCATCAAGACTAGGGTTGACCTACCAGGCCTGAGCCCCTGTAGTCGTCATCTCCCCCTCCCCCGCAACTAGTGATTCCATCCATGGTTGCCAAGGAAACAAGACACATGCCTTGGGGACAAAAGCTGAGCTGGGCCAGGAAAGGGGAATGGAATACAACTTCCCCCTAATAATGTGGGTCACAGAGAAAGGGGGGGTACTGCTGCAAGCCTAAAACACAAAGGGTCAGCCTCCTCCTGCTCAAGCCCTTGACTTCCAACCCTACCACTAGGCTGCCCTGCCCTACCTGAGTCCCCTCCTTCTGGGTGGTCTCGCCATTGGTCAGCTGGTGGGGCTCAGGCTCTGGCTCCAGCTCTGGCTCCAGCTCTGGCTCCTGCTTGGGCTCCTGCTCAGGCTCTTGATCCAGCTCCTCTAGAGCAGAGGGCGGAGTTGCCCCCTGGTGTGGGGCAACCAGGGGCTCCCTTTTTACTTCCTCCTCAGGGTCACAGAAGGTGGCTGGTGGCTCAGGCAGCTCATCAAAATTGAGGAGACTGGCACAGACTTCACCTGCTGGTGGCAGTGGCTCCTGAGCCCCCTCATCCAGTAGGGGCACCTCCACCAGAGTGACGTCAGCACCTGAGGGTGCTTTGGGGGCTCTGGGCTCAGCCTGGGATGGGGAGGCACCATCCCCATTGCCAGGCCATAGGTCAATGAGGCTGGCAGTGGCAGGGGTGACGGTGTTGGCAACAGCAGTGTCAGCAGCAGCAATGTTGGTTTCAATGGCAGCAGCTGCCAGGGTGTCGGATGCAGTGGTGTCGGCTCCAGCAGGCTCCAGAGGGGCAGCCAGGACAGCATGCTCAGGAGCCACCATGAACATAAAGTCCTCTGTGGGGCTGCCTTTCCCCTGGGGAGGCTCTGGTGCCTGAAGGGGCTCCTCCACGGGGCCAACCCAGGCCCGAGGGGCTGTGGCTATGGCCTCCTTGCTGGTCCCTTCACTATCCAAGCCATGGCCAGGCTCCTGGGTCTCTGTTACAGCACAAATGGAGGAGACAGATGTGACCAGCTCCATTAGGGAAGGTCATGGGCAGCCACCCTACCTACCCTGCCCATGCACTGAAGATTTGACGACCTCCTGGAAAGAAGGCTTCCAGCACCCACTGGGCCCTGCTGCCCCTATACCTAGTGTCTGTAAGCCACTAAGCAGCCTTGGGAGGAAGGCCTGATTCCCACTCCATGGAGAGACTGAGGCTCAGAGGGTAGATCTGACTGCCACACCAGTGTTCCTCCCTGCCACAGCCACCTCCAGGGCAGTACAGTTTGGGTGATGGGTGGCCCAGATCCCTGGGGAGCTGTTACCATGGCCACCTGGGTTTTTCAGCACAGGGACTAGTGAGAGGCCCAGTACAGCTAGGGCCTCTCACTTACCTTGGGTTTGTGGGGGTGGTGGTGGCAGTGGTGGAGGCTGTGAGGACGTGACCTCATCCAGGGCCCGCTCAATCTGCTCAGAGAGAGGGGTGGAGGCTGTGCTGGAGTCAGAAGGGCTCCGGGTAGGGATAGGGGTGGGTGCCATCCTCCGGTGGCTATCCAGGTGGCTGCCTGTGGAATAAACCCCCACACTGATCAGTGAGGGCCAGGAAGCCAGGTGGAACCAGGATTGTACACCTCGGGGCCTGGCCAGCATCTCTTCCCTGGAGTCTGGGTGGGGGCTGGGAGCTCCCCAGGGCCCCCAGGGGCCAGACCACAACTCCAGACCCTGTAAGCCAGGCCCTTGAGGGCCAGTGCCCCCTTCATGGCTAGGGAAAAGAGGCAGGCAGTACCTGCTCTAGGGACAAACACCAGAGATCAGTGGTCAGACTGGGAAGTAAGGGCAGGGGTGCTGCTGGGAAGCGGGGCCCTCCTTACCCCCCTGCCGAGGCCTGGGGCTGCTACCTACATGGGAGGGAGGAAGAGAGGTTTGGGGTGCGGTGACAGGTGATATAGGGAAAGGGAGTCCGTGGAGGGGAGGAGGAGGAAGAGGAGGAGGAGGAAGGCCCACTGTCCGATGCCTTTATGAAAGGGCAGTACGGACGACCTGCCGAGAGAGACAGAGAAAGAGAGAGACAGAGGACAAGAGAGGGTCAGTCTCCCCCACCCCCGCCCCAAGGCCTCACCCACCCCCAGTGCTGGCCCTGGATGTCCAAGCTGCCTTTAGCCAGGGTGCACATTCAGCCAAGCTGGGCTAGTCTCAAGCTGTCAGATGACTCCCATCAGCACCAGCCATGCACATCAAGGAGCCTGCCCAATGCAGCCAGCCTCTGCGAAGCACACACCCAGGGACAGCCTGTCCCACCCCTGAAACCCCTGCACAGGCCAACCACCCCACAGTCAAGCACTCAGACCAACAGACCGGGAGCAGAAGGGTGCTTCAGGGGAGGCAGAAGGTACAAGGAGAACCCTGAGAGGGAACCTGGGTGCAGGTGCCAGGGTGCCAGTGCACTTCACATGCACCACAGCCCTCAGGCAGGACCTGGTTCAACCCCAATAGGGCCACTTCCTATGGCAAGGGTGGTGCCTTAGTCCATGACAGGGCTGCCCAGGTGACCTCTAGCACTACCCACTGCTCAGCCAAAGCTCAACACTGACCACCCCTTCCCCAGCTTTCTCAGTCCTGCCACATGGGAGGCAGTGTGTGGGAGCACGCTTGATGAACAACCTTGCCTTCTCCAAGGGTCCTTGGGCAAGACTTCCCTTCCAAAAAATAGTGCCCAAGAGGCTCAGGGCCAAATCCTGAGGAGTGGGGTCAGCTGGGGGTGGGACCTGGGACTACCTGGTCGGTGGTTGAAAGGCGAGGGCACATCGCAGCTGCCCACAGAGGCTGATGCAACTCGTTCCTGCTGCTTGAAGAACTCCCGTGGGTTGTCTGGCCGCTGGGCAATAATGGCCGCTGCCTCCTGGGGGCATAAGAAAAGGATCAAGGCCAGGCTGGCCAGGCTGAGGCAGTTCCTGCTGGACTCACCTGCCCTGTCCCCCAGCTCTCACCTCCACCTCCGATTCTGACTTCTTCATCTGGGTCTCTTCCTCTTCATCCCGCTGGTCACCCTGGAAACCAAAGGGACACTGTCCTGGGCACCCCTACCAGGAGCTCCTGCCTGAGTACAGCCCCATGTTTCCTTCACAATCTGGCAGGTAGAGGCTTGCAGTGGCACCTCTGCTCCCTTCACCACCATCACACAGCTCCTTCTCTCCATCCAAAAGGCCTTCAGCCACCTCATCTCCAGCCTGGACACCCAGCTCAGCTCCTCCTGCTCCTTCACCCCAGGCACCCAGTCATCCAGGAGTGCTCCCAGCTCTGCAGCCAAGTTTTCTCAAACCTCCTATCCCAGCACCCGGCCAACATCATTGCTGTCTGGATGTCAACATTATTGCTGTCTGGATGTCAGCATCATGACTAAGGCTTCCTCATTAACCTCTCCTCCCCTGGGCTTGGCCCACATTCCCCTCCAACTGCCTGACCTAGCCCCTCTCACCTCTCCAATAACCCCCTTCTACCCTGACCTACCCACACATCCTGAGATGTAGACCTAATGTCATCGGTATGACATAGTTTTCACCCCTGGAACATGCATGCCATTTACCACTTGATATGGGAGATGAATCTCTCTCTCTCCTCAAATGCCCAACCCCCACTCCAGCTCCAATTCTTCTTGCTCTGACCTCAGCCTGGACAATGCCTCCTAGGGAAGAGGTACCTGGCCCATTCAGGTCATTTCCTTCTTCAGGTCCCCATAAGGTGTTCTAGGCACACACCACAGATTATACTGTCAGAAATCTCCTGTTTCTGGGATCAAGTACCCTACCCTTTGTGAGTGACACAAGATGAGAACTGGTCTGTGAGTGGCCAGCATGAGGTTGAGTCAGCACATGTTTGCTCAGTTGGATTCGCTACATCAAAAGCCTCTTTTATTTTTGTATTAATCTTCACCTGAGGATATTTTTTCCATTAATTTTTAGAGAGTGAAAGGGAGGGAGGGAGACAGAGAGAGAGAAACATCAATGTGAGAGACACATTGATTAGTTGCCTCCCGCGTGACCCCGACCAGGACCGGTATAGAACCTGCAACCTACACCAAAAGCCTCTTAATCTGTGTTGCCTGTTGCTCCTGTGGCAAATGGGGCAGGAGGGACTGAGTGGGAAAAAGAAAAATCTGATGGTAAGATGGTGAAGTAAGAGGGCTCCTTTGTTTTTGAGCACATACATAACCTAGAACTTAATCTTTTCTGTCAGGTGCATTAGAATGGCCCTACAAAGCACCCCTCTTCAACAGAGTTGTCACTCCAACCACAACTTTGTGTTCCAGAATGAAGCCTGAACTCCTCTGACCTTACCCTGTCTTCCCAAATTTCCCTGATCCTCAGCCCATGGAGCTCCAATCTCCTTGCCTCCCCAGAATGTATATCCAACCAGCTTTTGCTCAATCTCTGCCTAGTATAACCTCCCTAGGTTCCTCTGTCTCATTTGAAAAAAACACCAGAGCAGTATACCACCTACCAATGATGTGAACAATACTGAAACAAGCTAGAGCTGTGGGTAGGAAAAGGAGATCACTACACACCAACTATAAGTGTAGGCAGCACTGCTATACCTGAGCATCTACAGATATACAGGAGCTCCCTGGCAGCACAAGCATAAAGGGAACTCAGACAAGGAATGCAATTCTTATCAGAGGAGAAGACGTATTTTAGAGCTCTAAATTCCAAAGTTTCTCACATGGGATCTTCCTTAGAGAACCTGAATTTGTAAAACCACTACACTGACCTGCTAGAACATCCATTGTCATTATCACATGAGCCACAGTTGAGGAATCAGAAAGAAATATAAAATAATGGTGTTAGTTCCTTAAGATTTTGCTTGAAATATTGATAATTAGTACAAATAAGTGATCAGTTCGGAGGATAATACACTATACTATTTTTCCTACTTTGTGTGTATGTGAAATTTCCCATAAAAAGAAGCTTTTTCCAAAAAAACCCTTGCTCTGAATGGATAAACTAAATGTGGTACATAGATACAATGGAATATTATTAGCCTTAAAAAGGAGGAAGGCATTCTGACACATGGACGAACCTTGAAGACATTATAGTAAACGAAATAAGCCAGTCACCAAAGAAAAAATTCTACATGATTCCACTCATATGAGATACCTAGAAAAGTCAAATTCATAGAGATAGAAAGTAGACTGCTAGGGGCTGGGTGGAGGGGAGAAGGGAGAGTTAGTGTTTAATGAGTACAGAGTTTCAGGATGGAAGATAAAAACAATTCTGGAGATAAACAGTGGTGATGTTTGTATAATGTGTGTGTACTAATGTCACTGAACTGTATATTTAAAAATTGCTAAGATGGCCCAGCTGGTGTGGCTCAGTGGTTGAGCGCTGACCCATGCACTAAGAGGTTCAATTCTCAGTCAGGGCACATGCCCAGGTTGTGGGCCAAATCCCCAGTGAGGGGGATGCGAGAGGCGGCCAATTGATGTTCTCTCTCATCGATGTTTCCATCTCTCCCTCCCTCTCTCTCTAAAATCAATAAAGAAAAAAATTAAAAAATAAATAAACCTATCAGTTAATTTCATCTTGCTCATCTTCTTTTCCACTGTATTTCTAACACCTGGCACATGGCAGGTGATGGCAAGGGTTTGTTGAATAAAGCTGGAGCTTACCAACTGCACATCATCTTCATCCATCCAGAGGCTGATGTGATTGGAGTAAACTAGGATAGCTGCTTAATGCCAATGCCTGCAGTGTCCTGCCTGCTCTCTCCCAGTCTCCAGTGGGTGTGGCCCTGAAGCTCCTTTGATGCCCCAAGGCCCAACATCTGCCTATCACAGTCCAATCCAGATGAGTATCACCCACCTCCCATCCTGAACTGTACCTCACCACTGAATGACCTTAACTTAAAGCATGAGGATTTGACTCCACTGTGATTTTTCAAAGGGCCAATCCACAGGCCCTATGGGACAACCCAATGTTTGAAGGTTCAGAGAGCATCCCTGGAACACAGGTGGCTCTGAACAATACACACACAGTGTATTAGATGCTCAGAGCACCAGCCCAGATTCATTTGTGTGGTTTTGCAGCATTAGTGTTGTGAGGACCAGGTCTCAAGCCTCCTAAGTACAGAAAGCCATGTCTAATCTACCTGAGCCCCTCAGGCCTAATCAGTGAGGGTCAAGATAGATTTTCTTCTTTCAGTCTAAAGTAGAAGCTTCTCCAAGTAGGTCTCTTTACACAGCCAGGGGCCAGACCCCACATGATTGAATGGCAGGCCTGACACTTCATGACACCCCATGCAGCCGTACTCAGAATGCCCAGCAATGTCCCCAAGCCACTGATCTCCTCAAGAGGCCCAGGAACACAGGGTCTATCCTTATTTTCCTGACCAGGAGACTGGGAGCCCTGGCTAAGAACTTACAAAGATAGACTGCTCCTTCAACCGCCTCTTGGCCTCCTCAGCTTCTAAAGTCTGCTGTTTCCTCCTGAAATGATAAGTGGGCATAAGTGGGCATGCACTCCTTACAGAGGGCCCACGTGGACCTGCCTGCAGCAAGGCAGGGCCTGCACCAGGGTGGGGCTGGGCACACCTGTGCTCCTCGATTTGCTGTTCTCTCTCTCTGTAGCGCCGTTCCCGCTCTTCCTGCTCTTGCCGCTCCTGCTCCATCCGCTCTTGCTCAAACCTGAGTCTCTCATCCAGGGCCTTCTTCCGCTCTTCCTCCTTCCTCAACTCTTCCTCCTTCTGCAACCACCCGTGCCAAGGCAGTGTAGGCCCTAAGCCTTGGGGTCCCCTGTCCCTCCAGACCATCCCCAACCCAGGGCTGGTGAGATATGGGATCTGGGAAAACAGGGTGAGCCTTCCAGGCATGAGGCTCACTCTTTCAGCTGGGGAAGCACGTGGGATGGGACACACACTGTTGATGGAGAACTTGGGGAGAGAAGCCCAGGGTTACCCCATGGGGTCAAGTCAGCTCAGCCTACAGGCCAGGGTTGGGGTCCACACCTTAGCCTGCTCCCAGAACTGCTCACGGTTAATCCGCTTCATTTCCACAGCTGCATCAGTTTTCTGATAGGTGGTGCCCTGCAGAGTCAAACGGCCTGGCATGAGCTTGGAGAGCAGGCTGAGTGCTCTGGGACCTCCTACCCGAAAAGGCTGAGGGCTGAGAGGGCCAGAGTGGGCAAGCCCTGGGCAGGGACACACACTGACCACTGGCTCAGCATTCTCATCCTCACGCAGCCGCAGTCGGTGCAGCACAGGGCTGGAGAGCCGCGCCAGCCCGTTGGAAAGCCGCTGCCCAATGGCACCCGCGTCTATATCTTCTACGCTGCTGGCATTCACAATCACATCGACACCCTGCAGCAAAATGTGTTCAGGTAGTATGGCTCCCTCACATCACTACCAAGATCGAACAGACCATGGATGGCTGGCCCCACCCGCACTCGCACCTGGAAGAATTCAGCCACCTTAGCCACATGGCTGGCACAAGCACATTTTCGGGCATCAGGCACATCTTCACCAACCTGCAAAGTACCCAAAAAAGAGGAGGTTGGGAGAGGACAAGAATGGACAGCAGCCCTGGGCTCTCTTCCCAGGAGTGTAGTGGTATTCTCTCCAGAGGTGTCAGTGGGTGGAGCAGGGTGGAGGGTAACTGTTCTAGGGTCTCAGCTCCCTTCCCCAGCCCACAGCTGCATACCCAGTTGATGAGCACGTATTTTGGCAGAGCAGCCTGGGAGTCCTTGACGCTGCAGAAGCCGTACATCACCTTCTGGTTTTCAAAGTGGCCCGAGAGCTCCTGCAAGCCCCCATCTGGGGAAATCAGGAGGGTGTCAGGACTCCCATCTACTAACTCTTACCCCACAAAGGGCCGGGAAGACTCCTCTTGTGAACCTAGAGGTCCCTGAGTTCTGTGTTGGTGTGAGAAAGAGTGGCGGACAAGCACTAACTTTGCCTTTGAATCTCCAGGGACTGATTTGGGGTAGGACTGCTTGTTCTTCACACATCCTCATGTCTCATGACATACTAGTGCCCAGAGCCTTTGGGGTCTGGGGAAAGTGGGGGAGATCTGGGTCATCCCTGTTAGGCCCCCTCCTCCTTAGCTGTATGACTTTGGGCAAGTCACTCTCCCCTCTCTGAGGCTGTCTTTTCATAATCAAATAGGAAACCAGGTGTCCTCCCCCCCCCACCCTTGGGAGCTTAGGGATGACCAGGAAGGACACCTGCCAGACAAGTGTGGGTCTGCTGGATGCAGGCGAGGAGGTGGCCAGGAGCCAGGAGACTGAGAGCCAAGTGGGTGGGAAAGAAAACAACCAGAGGAGGGGGGAGGAGAGGGTGGGAGAAAACAGCAAAGGAATGGCTAGAATTCTTACCTCCTGATGCTGCAAGCTTGAGGTCATCTGAGCCATCCTCATATGTGTACAGAGCCCTGGGGAAAGGGAGGGGTGGCTCTTAAAACTGTCAAGGCTTAGGCTGCCAATTTTGGGTGAGGACAGCTCTAGGGAGGAGGACAAGGGCAGGACAGGAAGGGGGTTCTGCCCCAGACCTCACTGCCTGACAGTAGGGCTAAGAACCATTTCTGGAGGGGAAGCCCTGGGACTTGGTAGAGGGAGGCCTGGGTCAGGTGGGGAATTAAGAAATGGGGGTGGAGAAATCACTGCCCATGTGTCACATCCTGGGAGCCTGGTCCTGGCAGCCTACAACCCAGCAAGCGGGTGTGAGATGGAGATTCCAAGGCTATGGATCCTTGGTTACTGTTTCCTGGCTACCACGTTCCTCATCCCCATTGGCTGTTGCCAGGCGTGTGCCTTGGTACCTATCATCCCTCTTCTCACACCAGGGGAAGGGGAGGAGAACCTGGTGCTCACTCAGATCAGGGCATCCCCTGGTAACCATGGCAACCCAGCAACCAGCACAGGACAGGCCCTCTCCAACAGCAGTTTCCAGAACACAAAGGACCCCAGCCTTAATCTCTGCCTTTGAAATGTAGATGAGGTCATCCAGGTCACTCTTGCTCAGATTGTGGCCTCTGGGTGATTTTGCTCTCCTGGTCTTCCAGCCCCTAGGCCACCTGTGTCCCAGTTGAGGCCCTGGCCTCCTGGAACTGCCAGCCTTTCCTTTGGCCTTAGCGTCATCAGAAAGCTGACCTAGTAGCCCTCCTTCTTCCACCTTCCTAGCTTTTTCTCCCCAGGCGGCAGTGGCACAGCATCCATTTCACTGAAGGCATGGATGTCTGCTCCTGATGACCCCCCCTTGGGAGAACAGGCCTGGGGCAAGGAAGAAGGGCCTTGTTCCAGAGGCTCTGGAGGGCTCAGCCCCTTCCCCATTTCCCTATTGCCAAGGCAGGAGGCAGGGGGGCAGAAGGGATGACAGGAGCACAAGGAAGCCAGAGAAGAAAAGTGAAGAGTAAGTGGAAGAAAGAGAAGAAGACAAAAGAAAGGAGGAAATGAAAGATAAAGAGGAAATAAGGGAAGGAAAAAGAAAGGGAAGGGAGAGAAAAAGGAGAGAGGAAGCAGGAAGGAGAGAAAAAAGGAGGGCCTGGCCCAGTCCCATGAGGTCAGCACAAGTCATTGCTAAGGATACACACACACACACACACACACACACACACACACACTCCCAGGATCCTTCCCTCCTGAAAGGGACACAGGTGGGCTCTGAGGCAGGGAGCTCTTGGTCCAACTGTTGCCCAGGCCCCAGTGCTGGCAGCTGCTTCCCAGAACAGCTGTCCCACCACCTGTCTGGCTACCCAAACCCACCACTGGGAACAAAGGGCCCTCAGAGAAGCAGGGTCTGTCCTTCTCAATTCCACAGATGAGAAACCAAGGCAGAACTCTGAGACCCTGGTTTTCAGATACTGCTTTAGACAGCATATCTCCCAGGGATGAATGTCTTGAGAGGCTCTGAGGGCCCTTGCTACTCCCAGGAACGCTTGCCCTGCCCTTTCCATCCTCAATCCTTGCGTACCCACTCCAGCCACCTTTCTGACTCTGGTCACAGCCCTGACCTGACAGAAACCATAGCTAAGTTCAAAGCCTTCAGCAGGCCTTCAATCCTGACTTCTAACTACCTGCCTTTCCAGCTACACCTCTGTATCCACACCACCCACTTGGGTCACAATGGATGGCTCCCTGATGCCAAATACAGTTCTGGATATTTCCTACCCTTTGCATGTGTGGTTCCCTTCACAGAAAAGCCAGACCTGTTTCTCTACCCCATGACCACCTCTGGCAGAAATTCCTCAGGGTTCCAATGCCAGCTCTCCAGGAAGCTGTGTACCTCCTCAGACCACTTACCGCATCCCAGAAAGGATGGGAAGAAGCTTCTGAGCCTGCCCCAGATCTCACTAAACCAGTGCTTTCAAATAACGTCAGAGGTGGCCTGGGCCTGGACAGCACAAGAGGTCAGGAATGGGGGAACCAGAAATATACATATCTCATCAGCTTCAGTCCTTGGAGACAGACACTGCCTTGGATCTAAACTTTGTTAAGATGGATGTCTGAATCAGAGAACCAACACACTTCACTCTCTGGGTCCACGGTCCAGCACACAGCAGCACCACTAGGTATTTATGATACTGACACAAACTCTGAGAAACCATCTAGGCCAGAGAAACTGGACTGGAGTGAGGTGGGAGCTGGAATGTAGCAGCTCCAAGGAGATGCTAGGGTCAGCTGAGGTGAGAGGCTAAGGGTAGGCAGATCCCTCAAGACAATTTCACTCTCGCCCTGGTCGGTTTGGCTCAGCGGTTAGAGCGTTGTCCTGTGGTCCAGAGAGATCCGGGTTTGGTTCCCACTAAGGGCATGTACCTCGGTTGCAGTTTGTCCCCGGCCCAGGTTGGGTCGTGCGGGTGGCAGCCACTCGATGTGTTCCTTTCATCACGTTGATGTTTCTCTCCCTCTCTCTCCCTCCTGCTCTATCTGAACAAAAAATGGAAAAATGTCCTTGGGTGAGGATGATAAAAAAAAGAAGAAAAAAAAAAAAGACAATTGCACTCTCAGGATGTTAGAGCTGGAAGAGCCCTGGATATCCCAGGTATAGTTGAGCCCAATCCCCTCTTCGTCTTTTCTTTTCTTCTTTTTTATTTTTTATTTATTTATTTTTTTTATCCTCACCCGAGGACATTTTTCCATTCTTTGTTCAGGTAGAGTGGGAGGGAGAGAGAGGAACAGAGAGAGAGAGAGAAACATCAACGTGAAAGGAACACATCGAGCGGCTGCCACCCGCACAACCGACCAGGGCCGGGGACAAACTGCAACCGAGGTACGCACCCTTAGCGGGAACCGAACCCGGGTCTCTCAGGACCGCAGGCCGACACTCTAACCGCTGAGCCAAACCGGCCATTCTTTTTTATTTTTAAATATGTTTTTACTGATTCTAGAGAGATAGGAAGGGAAAAGGAGAGAAACATCAATGTGAGAGTGAAACATCTATTTGCTGCCTCCTGCATACCCCTACTGGGGATTGAGCCTGCAACCTGGGCATATGCCCCCAATGGGAATCGAACAGTGACCTTTGGTGTATGGGGTGATATTCAACCAACTGAGCCACACTGGCCAGGGCCCCTCTTCTTCTTTTTAAGAGGACCAAAAAGAAATAGGTTCTTGTGTGATCACATAGTGAGTCATGTCACATCCAGGGCAACACTTACTATTTCCACTACATTGACTTCCTGGGTCCCCTGCTCCCAGCAACTGGGCTGGTCTATTTCAGAGGCCCTGACACCAAGAAATAAGCTCCCCACCACCCTCACCACTCAGAGGCAAGGTAAGAGAAGGCGATGACAAGCCCCCTTTACCCAAGCAGCAATTTTATCCAAAACAGTTCCTTCCAGCTTATGAGTGCAGGGGTCTGCTCCTAAATCCTGAGACCCCACTGGATTCCTAGCTCAATGCAGGAAGCTGGGGGTATTCATGTCCCCCACTGCAGGATGTGATCTTCACACTGTTTTTACAAAATGCTATGTAGGCCCTTGGGAGTGAACAAATGTGTATGCATCTGTGTGAGTGTGAGTACCACACAAAACCCATATGGGAAGTGACGCATGCCAGTAATGAATAAGTAGCTTTGGCCACATGGATACTGCTCAGTGATGGGAACCCAGGCCTCTACTGAGCAGGATGTGGGCCAGCAGTGACTGTGTGGTCCCACACTGAGCTTCCAGAGCTCTGCTTTTGGGAGGTTAGGGACAATGATATGGTGGTAGACCGGACCTCTAGACCAGCGGTTCTCAACCGTGGATCGCAACCCCTTTGGAGTTTGAACAACCCTTTCACAGGGGTCGCCTAAGACACAACAGTAGCAAAATTACAGTTATGAAGTAGCAACAAAAATAATTTTATGGTTGGGGGTCACAACCTGAGAAACTGTATTAAAAGGTCACGGCATTAGGAAGGTTGAGAACCACTGCCCTAGACTGAGGACAAGGGGACTTTCTGAGATGGACCATACCCCTCTCCAGGCAGGGCCCATCATATCCCAAGATCAGCTCCTCCACCAGGCCAAGCTGGCCACTTGCCCCAAGCTCCTCCCATGACCTCAGCCCCCAGGGGGCTGGGACAATGAGTGGGCCACCTACCCACTTAGGCTTTGCTGGCCTTTCCTGTAACTAACCTGCAGAACATGGGAGCTTGTCTCCCAAGTCCATCTCTCAAGGCAGGCCTGGCTGCCCGCCAGTGCTGCAGTACTGTGGTATGGATGCCTGGCCATTTGTCCCCTCCTCCAGCACCCAGGTCAGTATCCCTACTGGAATGCCCTCCCTTAGTTGGGTAAGGCCAGTTCAAGTGCAGTCCCTCAGGCCTGCCCTTACTGTGTGGCTCAGTTTCCTGCCTGCCAGAGGGAGTAGAAGTCTGGGAATAGAATGAGCATCTGACCCAAGAGATGAGTACTGGGGTGGAGGTGGGGGGTTGATTCCTGAATGGGGCAGTGTGGAACCCCTTGGCTTTCTTACCACTCTGGAGATTCCAGCCTCAGAGCAGATGGTCCACTCCTCCCAGAGCTCAAGGGGAGACAATAGCTGGGGAAGAAGAAGGCAGCCCAGCTCCTCCCCAACCAGGGAGCTGAGAGCCCCTTGCACTGGGCCATGGGGCCAACGGCTCAAAAGATGTACTCAGCTCCTCATGGCTCACTGGGGGCTCCCTCCAGGCTTGTGTGCCCCAGGGCTTCCTCCCAGGGTCCCCAGCTGGCCCTCTAGGCAGGCAATTTGGTGTCCTTGGCATCTCCCAGTCCAGCTGCCCAGTCCCTGAAATCTCCTTCATCCCTGCCTTCTCCGCGGCCCGAGAGAAGAACAGGAGTCACTGGGAGGTTGCCATATGGTAATAAACGTCTTTCCATCATACCCCAACTCCAAGAGGCCCCCCCCATAGTGGGCGGGGCGCCCCGGTCCCCAGCTTTCTCTACTCCTCCCCCGTCCTAGCGTTCCTTTGTGCTGTGGCCCGCCGTCCGGGCTGGGTCAGGCAGGCTGAACTGTCTCCACTAGCTGGGTCCCCGCCCTGTCCCCGCCCGCTTGAAGGTAGCGAAGGTGCCCTTGTCCGCCCTCTGCACACCTGTCCCCAGGGCCCGGGGCGGGGGATGGGCTCCTGCAGGGCCTTGAGCCCCGGGCCACCGGTCCGGATCCTGCGTCCCTCCGTCCCTCTGTCCCGAGTCCGGCCATTGCTCCCACATCACGCCTGGGGCGGCCTCTGGGCGCTGGGGGCCGGCAGCGCCCCGCCCGACCGCCCGGCCCCTCCCCCGGCGCGCACAAAGGCAGCCCCTCTCCGCCCTCCCGGACGCCGCACCATTCGGGATCGCCTCCACCTTTCCCGGCAGCCGGGCGGTGGGCCGGGTGGAAACAAAGGCGCGGCGGTGCGGGGACAAAGGGGCTGGGGGGCGGGGGCGGAGGCTCACCAGTCGGCTGCGCTCTCCTCCCGGATCACCTCCTCGTACGCCGCCAGCAGCTCCAGGCGGTGGCCGCTGAAGCTGACGCCGGCCATGCTGCGGGCCGGACCGAGGCCGAACGGACAGATGCACGGACGGACAGATGGAGGAAGAGGGAGGGAAGGAGGCAGTCACAGCCGCTGCCGCCGCTTCGGAGCCTCTGCAGCGCTGCGAGCAGAGAGAGCCAGCGGCCGGGGGAAGGGAGCCGGCGGGGGGGGGGGGGGGCGGGGGGCGCTGGCTCCGCCTGGCTCGTCCCTCCGCGCTCGGTCCTAGCGCCGCCCCAGCCTGGCCCAGGGGGAGGTCCGCCCACTCTTCCCGGCCTGCCTCGGAGGCCCCCGCGCCCCTCACCCAGCGTCCCTGCGCCCGCGAGGATCTGTCCCTCGGCTCTCGAGGCCTGTCCCACCCGCGTCCCAAGTCTTCACCTACCATGGCCTCAGCCTAGGCTCTCACCCTCTTTCTCAGCCCCAAATTCAGCCCCAGCCTCACCAATCCGTCTCTAAACCCGGCTTCATTCTTCTCCTTATCAGGTCCCAGTCCCAAATCCCAAATCCATTTCATTCCAGTCCGGCCCAGCTTCATTCCTAGCTTAATTTATCTCTGTCCCTACCTCATCCCCATCCCTGATCCATCCCAACCACCAGCCGCAACCCAATTCACAGTTCAGCCCCCCTGGCCCATCTGCCGCCCATCCCCACTTCTGAAAGGCCCATTGCTAGTCCACCCCGTCACTGTCCATTACCATCTGCGTCCCAATCCCAAATCAAGCCCCATTTCTTTCCCATCCCAGCTCCAGCCTCATTCCCAACTCCATGATTAGCATGCATCACCCTCATTCTTGAAACCCCATCCCTAGCTGCACCCTCTTCAGTACACCTATCCTATCTCCATTCTGATCCCAGTTCCCAAACACACCACCTCCATCCCTGACTCTGACCATTCCAAGCCCCAACCTACATTATTACCCCAGCGTTTCCACCACCCCTGCCCCACACCTAGGCTGAGCCCCCATCCCTACCAGCTGCTTCCTGGGCCTTCTCAGATAGAACCAGCCAAGGAAATCCTTTCTTTGCCTTGACTCCCAAGCCTCAGGCTTCCCAGAGGACCCCAAGTAGACTTCCTCCTGGAAGTAACATCTAACCCCAGACTCCCAGGGCAGGGCTCCTTCAGGGACACTCTAGGACCAGCCTTCTGGCACCTTTATTTCCCAGAGTTCAGAGCACAGAAAGCATTGGAGCCCCAGAAGAGTTCACTGCAGGGGAGTGTGCACCACTGTCAGGACCTCCTGAAACATCACTTCTTGCTGAAGTAGGACCCTGGAACCCTCTCCAGCCTTTCCCACAACCTACAAAACCTCCCACTCTATCTTCCCAGGGGAGGTGACAGAACTTGAGAAAACTTTTTTTCTTTTTTAATTCTCAAAGGATATTTTTCCATTTATCTTCAGATAGAGTGGGAAGAGGAAAGAGAGAGAGAAAAAACATCTACATGAGAGAGACACATTGACTGGTTGCCTCTCGCACAATCCCGACCAGGGCCTGGGACAAACTGAAACCGAGGTACATGCCCTTGACCAGAATCGAACCCAAGACTCTTTGGTCTGCAGGCCGACACTCTAATCACTGAGCAAAACCGGCCAGGACAGAACCTGAGCAAACTTTATCTAGTCCAATCTGGGGGGTGAAGGAGGTGATTCAAGGTGATTCGGCTGGGCCTCTGAGTTCTGAGTTGGCCAAGAGGAGAAAGAGAGTAGTGTGTGTACTGATCTCCAGCAGTGGTTCCCAGCACTCTGGAGTAGGATGACCCTATTAAAACTTAAAACAGTTTTGACCCCTGCCTGGGAAGCTCTCTGTGCCCACTATGCCCATGGGCCCGTGGCCCTGGCAATTTCTCCACAGCCCACACTTGGAACAAGGTCCAGGCAACGTCAAAGGATTTGGGAGAGGGAGGAGACCTCATAGCAGGGTTAAAGAGGCCTGGGACAAGTAGGTAGAGGGATCTTGGGCCTCAGCCCCGTCCTGCTTCCTTTGACTTGTCCCAGCTCAGAATTCCTGCCACTTCCCCCTCTCTGGCCCCCTTCCCATCCTCCTGCTCACTCAATTTCATGTTCACAAAACAGAAGTCCTACATGCATGCTTTCCCTTCCTCAAATTCCTGCATCTCTCCACCCCCTTACAAATTCCAGCCACACCCACTCTCACCTCTTTGCCATCTATATTTTCAAATACTAATTTTAGAATAGTTTCAGATTTACCGAAAATTTTATAAAGATAGTACAGAGAGGCCCCATATGTGGGAGGAACAGGGTTACCTGCTTGGCTGCCCTGGAACCTGCTCCTGGTCCTGGCCCCAATCTAGTCCTCAGTTTCCTCGACCCTTGGGAGTAGGATGACTACGGATCACTTCCTCTGTGAGCCTGCCTCCCTTCAACCCTGAAACCCACCCACCCAGCCTTGGTGGGTGTGTGCTGGGTGCCTACTTGGAGGTCCTTCCACCCTTTAGGTTGCTAATATACTGGTCTCTCCCACCCACTGCTAGAGTGCAAGCTCCCCACACACATATCAGGATGCTGGTCCAATGGCTTGTGGGTCCCCGAAGTGGAAAAAACAACAAAGAGGTAGAATTCAGATCCAGAAGCTGGTCACTTGTGTGACCTTGGTTAAAGCGTTTTCCCTCTCTGAGTTTCCTCTTTTTTAAAAAATGTTTTGTTTTGTTTTTATCCTTACCTGAGGACATTTTTCCATTTTTTGTTCAGATAGTGTGGGAGGGAGAGAGAGGAAAAGAGCGAGAGAAACATCGACATGAAAGGGACACATTGAGCCCTGGCCGGTTTGGCTCAGCGGTTAGAGCGCCCGCCTGCGGTCCAGAGAGACCCGGGTTCGGTTCCCGCTAAGGGCATGTACCTTGGTTGCAGTTTGTCCCCGGCCCTGGTTGGTCGTGCGGGTGGCAGCCACTCGATGTGTCCCTTTCACATCGATGTTTCTCACTCTCTCTCTTCCTCTCTCTCTCCCTCCCACTCAGTCTGTACAAAAAATGGAAAAATGTCCTCGGGTGAGGATAAAAAAAAATTAAAAAAAGGGACACATTGAGTGGCTGCCCTTAGTGGGAACCGAACCCAGGTCTCTCTGGACTGCAGGCCAACGCTCTAACCGCTGAGCCAAACCGGCCAGGGCTAAAAAATGTTTTTATTGATTTTAGAAAGAGAAAAAGGGAAAGGAAAGAGAAACATATTGGCTGCCTTCTGCATGCCCCCTACTGGGGATCAAGCCTGCAGCCCCGGCAAGTGCCGGGGACCAGGAATCAAACCAGTGACCTTTTGGTGCATGGGATGACGTTCAACCAACTGAGTCACACTGGCCAGGGCTGAGTTTCCTCTTTGATAACATGTTGTGAGGATAAAATGTGACTGGATGGAGGTTTGGAGAGTGAGAACCATTCCTTTCCTCCTCACAGCCCCCCCCCCCCTTCCTGTTCTCCGCTCCCCACACCTCTCAGGGAAGGCTTCAAGGCTGGCATATTGGCCTCAGGACTTTTCAGCACTGGCTGTTGGAGCCTTCTCTGCTCTCATCCTGCCTCTGCAAGTTCCTACCAAGCACATCTTCAAGTTCCCTCATCCTTACTAAGCACTTCCCAGTTGTGGGCCCTGACACAGGATCAGCCACTTTCACCATATTAGCTGTGCTCCCTCCCGACAAGCGGATGCTGCCCAGATCTTGCTAACCATGACCTTAGACTCACTGCTTGACCTTTCTTGTCTCACTGGGGATGGATAATGGTATCTACCACATTGGGTCTGTTTGAGGACTTTTTTTTTTACCCTTACTCAAGGACATTTTCCCATTTTTTGTTCAGGTACAAGTGGGAGGGAAAGAGAGAGAGAGAGAGAAACATTGACGTGAAAGGGACACATCGAGTGGTTGCCACCCGCCCAACCCAACCAGGGCCAGGAACAAACTACAACCAAGGTACATGCCCTTAGCAGGAACCGAACCCGGGTCTCTGTGGACTGTAGGCCAACGCTCTAACTGCTGAGCAAAACCGGCCAGGGCTGAGGACTTTTTTTTAAATATTACTTTTTATTGATTTTTAGAGAGAGAGGAAAGATGAGAAAGAGGAGAGAAACATCCATGACAGAGGACATCGATTGGCTACCTCCTGCATGCCCCCTCTGGGGATCGGGCCCACAACCTGGGCATGTGCCCTGACCAGGAATCAAACTAGCAACCTCTTGGTGCATGGGTTGATGCTTAATCACTGAGCCACACTGGCCGGGCATGCTTGAGGATTTTAAAACCACATCTAGAAAGTGCTTCTTAAAATGGCAACTGAACATAGTAGGTGCCATTGACATGTTGGCTGTTACTATTTTAGAGATGGGAAATCTGAGGCTCAGAGAGGGGCAGTGATTTGGCCTGAGGCACACAGCTGGTGAGTGATGAAGTCTACATGGGAACCCATGTCTGTCCTGTCACTACAGACACCACATACCCTCCTCACTTCCCCTTCTGGCCATTTCCACATATAAAGGCTGGCTTGAGCAGCGATTTAGTCCGATGTGATCCTCAGGCTACAGCTAGCTATAGGGTTTAGGGAAGGAGTCAGGGGACAGGTGTCCTGGACATAGAGGAAGTGTACCCAGTGCTGTGACATCCATGGTCAGACATCCCTGTTACATAAAATTTCCTGGGGCTGAGAGACTAAAGAAAAAGGCTGACAACTCTAGAATTATATCGAGAGTTTATTAACGGAACTTACAGAAGAGATGCATCTGGGGTGGTGGCAAGATGAGGTGGATATCCTGTGTGCCATGTGGCAGAGACTAAGGGGTTATACAGGGCAGGGCAGGATGGATGGGGGTACTAGGGTGTGACCCTCCCCAGATAAAAGGAAAATGCTTGCTCAGTGGGGTAATGGCCTGTTCCAGGAACCAGCACAAGGTGGAGCCTAGGGGAAGGGTGGATCAGACAGTCTGAGAGGATTTATGGGAAGCAATCTCTCTTCTGGCCCTGGTTCTAGCTTGAGGTTCCAGCAGCAGTCAAGTCATTGAATATAGCCAGTCTCCCTTTCACAATCTCTGCCCTTGTCTTCTGGCTGATTTTCCACTATAGGCTCCAGAGAGGAGCATGTGATCCAGACCAGTGGGTCAGACCCAGTGGCTGTTTCAGGAATTGACACATGATCCAAGACAGTCCAATGGGCATTAGTCCCGGGACTTTTGCTGGAATCCTTAAGAAAGGCTCCACTGGGGCTGCTGAGCTGGCAGGATGTGAGCCTGGAGCTGGCTGAGGGGTGTCTTTGCCAACGTTGGGGAGAGCCTCCTGAGAGGAAAGCAGCGCAGAGAGGAAGAGCAGAGACTCCTGATAACACCCATAGTACCAGATCTTGCCATATCTGAAGCCATTAACCTTTTCAGTTAAATGGGACAAATTCTCTCCATTTCTAGTTTGAATTGCAGCTGAAAGAGTCCTTCCTAATCTACTTAGTCCCCAAGTAGTGGTCACTTTTGTCAGTGGCAAGAGAAATAGGTGAGTTGACAGTCTAGTCCCCCAGGCTAGTCCTGGGACCCTCCCTGAGCACTCCAATTATCCCACTACACAGTATCCCAAGGTTGGCCCCAGCTCCCTGAGTTCTCCCCAGGCTCCCAGCAAGCTTCTTCTTGCCCCACCAGGGACCCTGGAACTCTAGCCCCACCTCCCCTCCAGCTGGGGAGGAGCCCCAACTCCATCCAACTCAGGGTTGGCCTAGCTCGTTGCTAAACTGATCTGGCAGCCTGGCTGTTTATCCCTGTGTACTGTGGGGCTGCCCCTTAGCCCACAGCCTCAGCTTACTCAGGGCTGCATGGAGGGGTCTGGAGTTGTGAGTACCTTGTTTCTGTTCCAAAGCCATGCAGCGCTGAGGAGGCAGCCTCTGTTCTCTGTTCTCTGGTAAACAGTTCCTCGTCCTCCAATGCCTCTCTCTGATGACTTCAAATGAGCTCCAGCTGCTCTGAGCTGGGAAAAGCCCCTCTTGCTGACTCTCTCTCTAGTCACCCACTCAGCCCCCTGCCTTGGGCTCTGCCCCTCAGCTGAGAAGACTGCACTCTCCACGGGCGCTAATGGCCTCCCCTGCCTGACACCAGGACATTTCCCAGTCATCACATCTTCCATCCCAACCACACAGCCTCACATCCCAGCTTTGGAACATGGTGATCCCTGCAACTCCGTGGTGGGGGGCAGCCTGGAGGTGCAGTGAGCAGCAGACCTGGGCCATTCTGGCTGGTGGCTCTGGATAGGCCACTTTCCCAATGTGAGCCCCAGCTCCCTTATCTGAAACATGCCTTTAATGAGATTTCTCTTAAGTCCATTTTGAGGATTAAATGAAATATAAGTGATTGTTCTGTGGGTCCTGGCAGAGCTAACCAAAGCAGGAACCCCATGATTGGTTTTTTTTTTGTTGTTTTTTTTTTTGTGTGGTACGTGTCCCAGACTCTCTGGTCCGCAGGCCAACGCTCAACCGCTGAGCCAAACTGGCCAGGGCCGTGATTGTTGTTTTATTATTATTTATTTATTTTTGTTACAGATGTTTCTTCTTCCCCCGCCTGCCTCCCACAGACACCCTCCTCCCTATCCCGCCCCTTCCATCATGCATGTTTTTTTAAAGTAATTTTTAAAATTGATTTTAGAAAGAGAGGAAGGGAGAGATAGAAACATCGATGAGAGAGAACATTGACTGGCCACCTCCCACATGCCCTCACTGGGTACCGGGCCCACAACATGGGCATGTGTTCTGACCAGGAATCCAACCGCCGGGGACCTCTTGGTGCATGGGTTGACATTCAACCACTGAGCCACACTGGCCCAGCCCCATGCTTGTTTTTACTTCCATCAGGCGAGCTCCTCTTTCTGAGGTTTAGTACCCAGCTCTTTGTTCTTCACTTTCCCCTTACATCCACCTTCCCTTGGCAGACACCTCCCAGCTGCCTCTTGGTACTCAGTTGAGTGAGTGGCTGCTAGCAGTCCTCCTGCCACCACAGCCCAGTTCTCTAAGAGCTGTCTGCACTCTTGTCCACACTTTCCACATCCTGACACCCTCTCCCTTGTTCCTCTAACCCTGGCAGTGGCGCTCTCAGCCAAACTGATCTGGCAGAATGTTACCTTGCTGCGAAATGCTACAGGACTCCTGGCCTTATCTGCCTGGTTGCACTGTTGGCAGGTTATGGAAACACTCTTGCCCAGACCAACACACCAACTCAGCCACCAGGCCTACAGGCTCACAGCTGGTCCTCTTCGGCTCCTGCTTCCTCCACCCAGAGCTGTGATGCTGTTGCTTCCCAGTCTCTCGCCTTGTCTATGCTGGGGCCCCAGCTGACCTCACACTAGATTTGGCCCATGTTTCTATTTTTTAAAATAGGATTTAAAAAATCTTAGTTGTCAACATTAAAAAACCAGATTTCACATAAAAGTCTGAATCTCTGGATGCTGTTGATAAACCGGCAGATCTGGCCACAGCGTGGCATTACCATGTGACAGCCCTCGGTTGAAGCTGAGGGCAGCTGCCAGGGAGAAGTGCTCCCCAGAGGACTCCCAGCAGCACTCAGCATCCACTCCTGTGATCTCACTCACTTGTTTGTATCCATGGAAACGAAGGGTGGACTGAGGGCTTCACGGTTCAAGAGAAGTGGGAGAGTACATTTCATTGTGGAAGTGAAAGATACTGTTCAATATACTACAGATGTCTAGGCTGAAAGAAAACCACATCTCACCTGCTTTTCTCTTGGTATGACCTGCCCGGGTCCAACTCCCAGCCTTCCACAGGCATCAATTACAAACATCTGTGATGACTGCCCCGGACCTTTCCCAAACTCATTCCAGATTTGAATCTAAGATGAATCCAGATTTGAATCTTCAGCTGCTTCCTGAATTTGTCTCCTAAATGTTCCACAGGCACCTTTCAACAAACATTTATTGGCCATCCTCTATGTACCAGGCACTGTTCTAGGCTCTGACAAGACATCACAAAAATAGCACAGGAAGCTCTGTACCCAGTCAGCAGGGTACTCAAGAGAACACAACAGACCCTTCTCTTCTCTTAAAGGGGATGGGCCTAAGTTGTATGAGTCAACCCACAACTACAGATATTCATGCCAGAGAGCCTGAAGGACAGGTGGCCATGGATATGCTGAGTTGTCCTGGCCTAGACTGGGCCCTCTCTTTAGTCCCCCACCAGTCCAGACTTGGGACAGGAGGGATGACAATCCCCCTAGGGTAGTGGAGGGTACCAGTAAGAAGCAAGAGTCCCCACACAGATAGGGACAACACCAGTCTCCAGGAGTAAAGGTACTAGGCAGAAGTGAGCTTCCCAGAAGGGTCCTCCCTAGCATGTGGTGCTCAATGCCAGTCAGTCCAAGGACAGTACAGAGCTTCAGACCTGGCTTGTAGCCAGGATCATGGCTTATTTGCTGTGTGAGCTTGGTCAGGTCTCCTAACCTTTCATCTATAAAATGAGAGTGACTGCAGAGTCCTCAAAGGGTTGCTGGGAAGATCATATGAAATGATGTAAACATCCAGATACCTATCAAAATCACCTGCCTGCCTTTCCTCACCATATCTTCCCCCCGCCCCTAGGCCCCATTCTAGGCTCCCTGGGACAGGTCACTGGGTCCCATCTCTGCCATGTTGCTTTCTGCTCCTCCCTTTCCCTAACCCCTATTCCTCCTCCAATCTCCTTCCCTCTGTTCATCCTACTCAAGCCCAGGACTCTTTCTACAAGTCTATTCTGGTGGCTTCATTATTTCAAACTCCTCTGTGCTCTGACCCCTCCCCACCCCAACACTACTTTGTTCTTCGGGAGGCAGTCCCAGCTCCTCAGCCTGTCTGTAGGCTCCCGAGACCTGAGACCACCCTTTCCAGCCCCACCTCCCCTGCAGCACCTCTCCAGCAGATGGATGGCAGACAGCTCCTCCAAGTCCCATCTCTCTAGCTCCATTTCCCCTCCTCTCCTCTGACCTCCACCCCAGGACAGGGTCCCTCCACTTCTGTGGGTGCCTGGGCCCAGCACATGGTGCCCCTTCCTCTCTTCCCCCTGACCAAGAGCCTTCCTTGTCCCCATCACAAGGATTACTAGGATGGTCAGCCCTAGGAAAACCAGCTTAATTTCTACCCTGCTATGTGCCTCAAATCCCACCATTCCTCACGCATAGGGGGGAAGCGCACACAGCACACAGCTAGATACAGGTTTATTGTGGCACTGGATGTGAACAGGGCCTGGTGTGGCCAGCACCGTGTGCAATGGTGGTGAAGGGAGTGCAGGGAAGAAAAAGCGTGAGGCAGGGCCCAGGGAACCCCAGGCTTGGGCCAGGAGTCGGGGTTGGGTTGACCTCTGCCAGCCCTACCCAGAAATCTGGTGGGATGACTCCAGAAACAGTGACCCCTCCGGCTGGGCAGGGTGAGGCAGCAGTGGGCTGGAGGGGCTCACACATGGGAGAAGGCATGGCTCTTGCAAAGGGGTTTGTTCTTCTTGGAGTAAAAAGTCTTTCCTTCCAGGTTGATCTGACATACCTGGGAACAGCCAGGGTTCAATTATTTGGGGTTGGGGGTGGCAGGAGAGGCCCCTTCCCAACCTCTCATGAATCCCAGAGGTAGGCGGTAGGAGAGCAGCTGGTGAAAAATACAGGGTGCTGGGGATGAAACCTAAGTTTGAGGGGGCACTCACCGCACACACAAAGCACGTGTCATGCCAGCTGAAGCCCAGGGCCTCCAGGAAGCGGTCCCCAGCATCGATCTTGAAATCACAGCCTTGGCATTTTGTGCCAAACATCTTCTCATAGTCTGGGAGGGATGGAGGCAGAGAGGAAGAAGGAGCTGGGGTCTCACCTGCCTTGACCACGCCCCTTTTGCCTGGCCCTGAAGCTTATTTCTTACCTTTTTTTTTTGTGGTATGTGCCCCTAGCGAGAATCGAACCCGGGACTCTCTGGTCCGCAGGCTGACGCTCAACCGCTGAGCCAAACTGGCCAGGGCTTATTTCTTACCTTGATCGCAGTAGGGAGCCCCTTCTTCCATGTAGAAGGCTCTGTTCCGAATGGGTGTCTTGCAGGCCGTGCAGGTAAAGCAATGCACGTGCCAGGTCATCTTCAGGGCGTGCATGATTTCCTGGGAGGAGGTGACAGTCACCTAGCAATTCAGCCCACTCCTGTCCAGAGCGTAGGACACAGGGAAGGTGGCCTAGGGCCCGCTTCCTACCCATGGTAAATGTGACATCTGCACACCCACCCTCCCACTCCCTAACCCTACCCTGAGTCTCCTGGTGATGTCCACTATGCTTCTGACTTGACAAGTCCAAAGCTTAGCTCCCAATCTCTGCACCCCAAACCTGTTCCTCCCACAGCTGTCCCCATCTCCATTTTTGGCAACTCCATCCTTCCACCCACACAAGACTAATTCCCCTTTTCTTTCACATCCTATATCAGGTCCACCAGGAAATCCTGTTGGGTTCACCTTTAAGATGCATCCAGATTCTGACTACTTCCTACAGCATCCCTAATGCAGGGTGTAAGCTTTGGACGTCTCTGGCCTAGGTGACCCCATAAAACCAGCCTTCATGCTCCTTCCTCTGCTCTTGCAGACTGATGTTAACCTGAGCCAGGCCACATCCCCTCTGCTGAAATCTCTGCATGCTCCACATTCTCTGAACAAAACCCAGAGCCCTGCAAGGGGCCCAGAGGCCAGCAGGTCTGGCCTCTGTCCCTTTGCTCCCCACACATAGCCTCTCGCTCATAGTCACTGCACCAGGCACACCGTCTTGGGGCCTCACACCAGCTTCCCCTCTGCCTGGATTGTTCTGCCCCTGATATCTGCAAGGTTCAGCCCTCACCTCCTTCAAGTTTCTGCTCAAATGTCACCTTCTCCATGAGGTCCACTCTGACAACATGGGTTCATACACTCATTTAAAAATGGAAGAGTGTGGCCCTGGCTGGTTTGGCTCAGCGGTTAGAGCGTCGGCCCGCAGACCAAAGGATCATGGGTTCAATTCCGGTCAAGGACATGTACCTCAGTTGCGGTTCGTCCCTGGCCCTGGTTGGGGTGATGCGGAAGGCAGCCAGTCAATGTCTCTCTCACATTGATGTTTCTCTCTCTCCCTCCCTCCCACTCTATCTGAAGATATAAGGGGAAAAAAAATCTTCAAGTGAGGATTGGAAAAAAAAAAACAACGGAAGTGTGTGGACCAAGCTAGATCTAAGTGTGGGCAGCATCTAGCTCTCAGATGGCCCATCCGCTCCCTTCACAACATGTATGTCACATCTCACATACACCTCACAACCTCATGTCTAGGACTTACTGCCACCCTCATTTTAGTGAGGCCCAGAGAAAGCAACTTCCCTAATAGATGGCAGAAATGGGTTTTGTGTCCATGTCTGGTTGACTTCAAAGCTGGCTCTTCCCACTGCCTATGATAGGACAGGGGCTCCAGCAGGAGGCCAACTGGGCATGGTGGGCACATAGCAGGAAGGCAGCTTCTGCTGGTATTCACAAGAACCTGTGAACCAGTTACTGTCTACTTTGTTGTTGTTTTTTGTCCTCGCCCAAGGACATTTTTGCATTTATCTTCAGTTAGAGTGGGAGAGAGGGAGGAAGAGAGAGAGAAACATCGACGTGAGAGTGAGAGAGACACATCGAGTGGTTGCCACCCACACAATCCCAATGGGGCCGGGGACAAACTGCAATTGAGGTACATGCCCTTAGTGGGAACTAAACCTGGGACTCTCTGGTATGTAGGCCGATGCTCTAACTGCTGAGCCAAACTGACCAGGGCAGTTACTGTCTATTTTACCCCCTAGTTTCCTAAATCTGTCTGCTTCTCCCACCTCCATGGCCTCTACCCCAGCAGCCTTAGTCTCCCTTCTCTAGTGGTCTCCTCTCTCTAGTGGTCTCCCCTTGCCTGGGAGGCTTGCTGAGACACACCTGACTTCACCAGTCCCTAGCTCCAAACTCCTAACACAGACCCTGCCCACTTCTTCTACCTCACTTCATACCTTCCCAGGTGTTACCTTGTGACACAAGCTATTACTTCTGCCTGCAACGCTGTCCCCAATCCTTCTCCAAGCTAACTCCTACACATTTTAAGTTCAACTTAGAGACCACTCCATCCACTCCTTCAAGTGTTTACTGACCACCTCCCATATATGGCACAATATCAAGTGTGAACAAAACAAGTCCTGGTCCCAGCCCATGTGCACACCTGGGGAAGACATAGTACAAAAGGACTGGGGGTTAGTGAGTAAATTGTGTGGTGTCTAGCCTAGTGGGAAGGGTGGGCATCAAGAAAAGTGTTCCTGCCTGGCCGGTGTGGCTCAGTGGATTGAATGTCGTCCCATGGACTGAGAGGTCCTGGTTCCATTCCCAGTCAGAACACATGCTGGGGTTGTGGGTTTGATCCCCAGTAGGGGGCGTGCAGGAGGCAGCCCATCGATGTGTCTCTCTCACATCAATGTTTCTATCTCTCCCTTCCTCTCTCTCTCTAAAAAATCAATAAAAACATATTTTTAAAAATAAAGATGTTCCTAAGAAAATGATATTTGAGTTCCAGATAAGGAATGAGGTAAAGAGAGTGCTACAAAGTGTCCCTGCCTATGCAAAGGCCCTGAAATGGGGGTGTGGGCACCTGTGGTTGGATTACCAGGGTGAGGGAGGCTGGTGGCAAGTGGTGAGCCTTGAGAGCATGGGGTCCCAGATAGTCCCCAGATCAGAATGGCTTCTTTTTAATGTGTGCCTCCATCCCTCAGAACTTCCCTCCAACTCTACTCCACAATTTGACTACACTGTGTCTGTCTCTCCCCATTCTACACACTGAGCTCTGAGGACAAGCAGTCTCCAAGCTCTGGGTACAGGCAGGGCACACAGCCCATGGCAGGTTGGGGAGATCAGCCTCCTGTCCATTGAAGGCAAGGGTGCTCCCTAGGGTCTATCAGGCCCTGGAATCCCTGCAAGAGGGGAAGCTGAGGCCGTAGGGTGCTGGAACCACTGGCTTAGGCCAGGGCAGGAGCAGGGTTTGCCTTTAAAACTCACTCTAGGGCCCTGGCCGGTTTGGCTTAGCGGTTGGAGCGTCGGCCTGCGGTCCTGAGAGACCCGGGTTCGGTTCCTGCCTAAGGGCGCGTACCTCGGTTGCAGTTTGTCCCTGGCCCTGGTCGGTTGTGCGGGTGGCAGCCACTCGATGTGTCCCTTTCACATCGATGTTTCTCTCTCTCTCTCTCTCTCTCTCTGTTCCTCTCTCTCCCTCCCACTCTACCTGAACAAAGGATGGAAAAATGTCCTCGGATGAGGATAAAAAATAAATAAATAAATAAATAATAAAAAAATAAAACTCTGCCCTGGCCAGTTTGGCTCAGCGGTTAGAGCGTCGGCCTGCGGTCCGGAGAGACCCGGGTTTGGTTCCCGCTAAGGGCACGTACTTCAGTTGCAGTTTGTCCCCGGCCCTGGTTGGTTGTGCGGGTGGCAGCCACTCGATGTGTCCCTTCACGTCGATGTTTCTCTCTCTCTCCCTTCCTTTCTCTCCCTCCCACTCTATCTGTACAAAAAAATGGAAAAATATCCTCGGGTGAGGATAAAAAAATAAATAAATAAATAAAAAATAAAACTCACTCTAGGACCCAGGAGCCAACCTGTCCTGTGAGCCTCAGCTCCTCATCTGTGGCCTGGGTGATAAACCTGCTCACCTAGGACTTGGGCATGGGGTGGGGGCAGTACAGGAGTGCAGTGTAATGCAGGCAGAACAATAGTACCTTGATCTGTAGGAAGCAAATCCAGATGCCCAGCTCAAGGGACTTCCGGGGTCCAGCCCATTCTTCTAGAAGAGTCAAATGGGGTGTGGCCTAGGCTGGTGGGAAATGGCTGTGATGTTGGGCAAAATTTCCTCATCTATAAGAGCATAACCAAACTGACTTCATAGTATGATTGTGAAGCTGGATGCCACACACAGTGAGTGTCACAGGAACTGTCACTGTAATGATGAGACTGATAACATCCATTCTCCTGTCTGATGGAACCTCCACTTTTGGTTGGACACAAGGCTGCCCCAAATGGACATTTCCTAGCTTCCCTTGTAGCTGAGTGGGGTTATATGACCTAGTTCTGGCCAATGGGGTGGAAGCAGAGGGCTGGATAGCAACGTTTTCTAAAGATGGCTGCCATGGGCCTTCTGTCCCTTCCTCCCCTTCCAACTTCATGCTGGTTAGAATGTAAAAATTATGGCTAAGGTGTAAGAGCCGTGGACTGTAAGCAGTAAGGAAGCCTGTGCAGAGAATGGCTGAACAACAAGATACAGCAGTCTGGATCTGTCTACCAGTCCTGCACTGCCCAACTCTGGACTTTCTTAGAAATAAGCTGCCACTTGCAGTCAAGATGATCCTCAGTGATGAGAAGCACCGGAGAGCTCTCAGGCCACACCTGGCAGCTCTGCCTCTAGATCCAGAAATAAGGAGAAGCATGAGTGACAAAAAGAGCTCAATCTGGAGTCAAATGGGTCTGAGGCTGTTCCCAACTCAGTCCTCCCATTCTATGAAGCCTGGACAGTCTCTGCCCCTCTCTGGACTTTAGTTTCTCTATATATACAACAGTAACCCCCTCAGCTTATCATCTCTGCCTGTTCTGCACCCTTTTCCCTGGCTCTGCCTTCAGACCTACACCCTTGGCATTCCCTTCCCCAGAATGAACTCCTAGGAACAGCACAAGTGCCTGTCTCTTCACATGGTGTCTTCAGCATAGGGTACACTGCCCACACTTAATAAAGAGAACATGTCGGGGAAGGGAGATAGCCTATCATTCTTAGCCATGGCATGTGCTGACCTAAGTCCCAAGCCAACTCAGTAGTGCTTGGTTGCTCTGAAGGAAACCTGGCCAGGCTATGCTGTGTGTGTAGCCTAAGTGGGACAACTAGGATTTTGAATCACAAGTTTTTTAGTCTGAATTTCTGGCTTTGCCACTCAATAGTACTGTGTCCTTCTAGCACATCAAATCACCTCTCAGAGGCTTCATTTTCTCATACATTAGGGGTGTAGACACTGTGGATCAGTTTCTCAAGACTGTCACAACTAATCCCCTTCTCTTTTACCTTCCTCTCTTATGGGTCTGCCCTGTGGCCCAGGTGCTCACAGGGTAAACAGCTCTAACCACTGAAGAGAAGATGTACATTCATGGTTTTTCTTCCAGAGTTAAAAGGCAAAACCTCATTAAAAGAATACCATTTGCCTGCCTGGTATGGCTCAGTGGTTGAGCGTCAACCCATGTACCAAGAGGTTGCCAGTTTGATTCCTGGTCAGGGCACATGCCCAGGTTGTAGGCCTGATCCCCAGTGGGGGGCATGCAGGAGGCGGCCACTCAATGTTCTCTCTCATTGATGTTTCTATCTCTCTCTCCCTCTCCCTTTCTCTCTCTAACATCAATAAAGAAAAAAAAAAGAATACCGTTTATCCTTCTGCCTCCTTCCTGTCTGCAGCAAGACTATAAGGCCAGGGACTTGCACAGTCATCTGGCTGTGATAGGATAAGCTCGGGGACAACGTCTACAGGAGTGGTTCTCAACCTTCTTAATGCCGCAACCCTTTAATACAGTTCCTCACGTTGTCAGTGACCCCCAAACATAAAAATTATTTTCGTTGCTACTTCATAACTGTAATTTTGTTACTGTTATGAATCACCATCAGAAATATGTGTTTTCCAATGGTCTTAGGCAACCCCTGCGAAAGGGTTGTTTGACCCCCAAAGGGGTCACAACCCACAGGTTGAGAACTGCTGGTCTACAGGCTAAGGATCTTGAAGCAAAAAGTCAGGAAAAGGCTAAAGGCATCCTTGAGCTGCTATTCCAGCCCTGGAGTTCTTCTGATTAAAGTATAACCCCTTCTGCTTAAATCTCTGCAGCGGGGTTTTGTTACTGCAGTCAAGTGCAATGCCACTGACACAGTAGCCACAGCTTGTTTTAATCTGATGTGAACTTCCCTTCTTCAGAGAACATCATGCTAGTTTTAATTCAGGGAGCCAATCCTCCCTCCACTCTCAGCCAACTCCTGCTCCAGGGTGATTGTCACCCAGACCAGGCCAATCAGAGACATGGGCTTGGGTCCGAGATGGGCATGTTCCACAAGCCAGCCCCATGAGCAGCAGCACTGGCACTCCTGACGCATCAACTGGCCCAGAAGTGAAGCTCTTGTTCGCTCTGTAGTGCTAAGCTGGAGAGATGTAACCTGGAGCTACTGTGGCTCCATCTCTGCCACCTTCTAGGGAACAGCAAGCTGGGAATGAGGCCAACAATGAAAATATAGGCCAAGTAGTAGGAAGAATCCTGATGACCTCGGGACCTGCTGTCAGCTGAGCCTGAAGTTAGCACCCCTTGGGCTTGCCAGTTATTTGTGCCAATACACTCTTTTGCTGCTGTTGTTAATCCTCACCTGAGGATACTGTTTTCCATTTATTTTTAGAGAGACTGGAAAGGAGGGAGGAGTAGAAAGAGAGAGAAACATCAATGTAAGAGAGACATATCAATTGGTGGCTTCCCTGACCAGAGCCAGGGATCGAACCTGCAACCTAGGTATGTACTCTTGACCGAGAATCAAACCTGCAACCCTTCAGTGTGTGGGCAAATGCTCTAACCACTGAGAAACACCTGCCAGGGCTGAGCCAATACATTCTCATTCCAGCCCTTTTGAGTAGGATTCCAGTCACTGTTAAGAGGATCCTGGCTAATGCAAAGTGAAGCCAGTAGAACAGCCCATTTATTAAGCGCTAAAGATCCAAAGGGCTCATGCAGGGAGAGCCCATCAATGCCAACAGGGTCAGACTCACATTCCCACCCATCCACCAACCCCACTCACGCCTGTGATCTTTTTCTTGCACTTGGCACAGCTGGGTGCGTAGCGCATGTCATAGCAGGGTGGGCAGAAGATGGCACCCTTCTCCTCGAAGAAGCCACCCTCTTCCAGGACCATCCCACACTGGCTGCACACAAACTCCTCAGGGTGGTATGCGTGGCCCAGTGCCACCAGGTAGCGGCCCCTGAGGGGGAGGCAAGGGCAGTGAGAAGGAATGTATACAAATGAGGTGGGAGCTCCTGGCCCAAGCCCAAGCAGGTTTACTGAACATTTATTCTGAAGCCTGGAAGGGGAAGTTCACTCTTCCCATTTCCCAAAGAAGGGAGAAAATAGGGTTGGAAGGTGATTTGCCCACAGTCACACAGGGAGAATAATGAAGCTGCATCATTTTGTGAAATGAGAGAGTAGGGTAGTGTTGGAACAGGGAGGATGGTTAAGGGGGGCTACATTGGGTGGGGCTGCTGACTTGGGTCCGATGAAATGAACCTGAGAAACTGGGGCCCTGGAGGGCAGAAAGCCTAGAGTGTCCATGAGTCCTGAAAACCAGTGGGTACCTGAGCCAACCCTGGTGCCCACGCTATCCTGCTTGCCTGTTCTATCTGGTCTGGGGAGAGGGCCACAGGTTCCAGATAACTGAGCTCTGCAGTACTGGAGCTGACAGGAGTCATGAACAGGTATAGAGCTTAGAACTAGGAAGCCTCTAGAATTTGGTACATTGATTTGGGGGGTGTTTTGTGACCCTGTTGGACCCCAGGAAGCAGTACAGAGAAGGAGGGGCCCCTGGCCTGTTTGCAGAGGTTAAGTAGAGAAAGACTGAACAAGCAGGAGGGAGAGAGGCAGAGGGGCTGGGTGGGGCAGGCCCTTTTTTGCCCGAGAGCAGCAAGTCTATGGGTGCAATGCTGGTGCGTTGCTGACACTTCCTCCACTTTACTGGGGCAAACACTGATAGAGGCTGATGTGGGGAGAGGGGAAGTGTTGCAGGACTCAGAATCTGACGGCCCAGGCCGGGTCCCTATCTCCACTCTAATTGGGAACTGAACCCTTATCCTTGTGCAACAGCAGCTGAGATGAGTGGGGAAACAGATGGGGGAACAGTGATCAGAAAGGCACTAAGACTGGACATCAGGACAAGAAAGGAACAGGGCCACCCACCGGATGACCTTGTGGCACTGGTGGCACACAGGTGTCTTGCCATTGCTGCCACCGCCCCCTCCTGTGCCCCCTCCAGCAGCTGCCTGCACGATGGACGTGCGGTTCTGTAGAGGTGTGAGTGTGGCGGGCTGACTGTGCCGGGTCAGTACTGTGCTCGTCTTGTCTGGGGCGTAGCGCTCAGCGAATGCAGGGTCCACAGCCCAGGGTGGGCGGCTGGTGGGGCTGGGGGTAGTAGGGCCTGCCAGGGCCAAGGGAAGTGGCTCTGGGGGGTGCCCAGGGACCCCAAGACAAGGGATAAAGCCCAGGGCAGCTTGGAGGGGCCCACCCCCCATGACCCTAGAGGCTACCCACCCCTCCCCAGGCCCAAGCCCACTCTCTCACCAGGCCAGGGTTCCTGGGTTGTAGATGAGGCTGGGACTTGGGCTTCCGACCTGGGCAGCTGGCTGCAAGATCTGCCATTCAAGGTATTGCACAGCTGGGTCTCCTAACAAGACCCCACCCCCCAACCTTGGTCCTGCTGGGCCCATGGGAGATGCCTGGGTGCATGAGAGCTGCTGGGCTGGACTCCAGGTCCCACTGGGGTAGGGATGGATAAGGCAGCTTTTCCTAACCAGGTTCCAGCAGGCTCCTGTTGTACAGGGCTGGGAGGTGGAGCAGGGATCTTGCTTCTGGTCAGTTCTTGGACTCCCTCATCCCCAAGATCCTGCTCTGATGGCAGGGCCCCTTTTGTCAGGTACTGCCTTCCAATGAGACCCAGACTGGCAGAGTCCACACTGGGTCTAAACAGTCTAATACTCCATACTCAAAACACAGCCCAAGCCCACAAAGACAGAAGACAGAGGCAGAGAAAGCAGGACTGAGAGTTTTATTTCCATGCCCAAACCAGCACAGGCCTGGCAGACAGCAGCAGTACCAGAGGGCAAAGAGGGAAGGCAGTGGTAGACGAAGCCAGGCCCTGCAGGCAGGCAGCCAGGGCCAGGCCGGCAGGAGGCTCAGTCCAGGGACAGGAAAGGAGTGGGTCAGGTAGGCAAAAGCTGAAGGCACCAGGGGGTGCCCTGAGCAGGAGGAAGAGAGAGAGAGAGAGGCAAAGAGGACAGACAGCTGGCTGGCCAGTGCCGGGCTAAGACTGCACGTTGAGCACGTGGGCAGAGCGCTGGTGGTGCCAGTCCCGGAGGCGGGTGTAACGTGGGCTCTGCAGCTCCAGGACATACTTTTCCCTGAGGAGCAGAGAGAAAGGAGGGGAAAGTGGAAAGAAGGAGAGATGGAAGAGAGAAAAGGAAGGAGAGAAAGAAGGATAATGGAGAGCTCTGGCTAGGGACCCCCAGGAGCAGACACAGGTGGTGGCTGGAACGGGAGAGGAAGGAGACGAGAAAGGAGGACTGGTGCCTGTCCTTTTACCTTGACTTCTTCAGGTGCTCCTCATCCGGGTCTTGCACTGAGAAAGCAGAGGCAGGAATTGACCAAGAGAAGACAGAGGGCCATCCCAGCCTTGAGCCCTGGCAAAGGGTCACAGGGCACCTAACGAGCTCTGGCTGAGCCCACAACCAGGCTGGAAGCCAGAAGGAGAGTCTGCCCTGCCCTGGGCTGCAACTTACTGAACTCGGTACCCGTGAGGTGGGCAAGGATGCGGAAGGAACGGGACTGGCCCGTTCCAGGCCTTGGCCGCCAGTCTTCCGTGTCCTCCATCAGCCGCTGCTTGCTGGCGTCTGGGACCAGCGGTCGAAGCGGCTGTCTGTGGGGAGGGTGTGGCTCAGCACCTCATGCTAGGGGTGAACAGTGGGGTAGCCCCTCCCTGGAATTCATACATGTGGGCTATAGTGAAGGGAGAGTGGGGAAGGGCAAGGTCAGGACCCTGCTGGGTAAATGAGGGGGTAGATAAGTGAGAGGGGAGGAGGCCAAACAGGGTGAGAGGGAGCCAGGGTGGAGAGGGGCCGCCACCCAGAATGTCAACAGGAAGGAAGAGAAGGATAAGAAGAGGGGGCTCACTGACTTGTCAGGGGTCTGCACCTGTGAAGGAAACAGACAGATGGGACAGATAAAGGAAAAGAGGGACAGATACATGGGAAGAAGAAAGTTAGCAAGGGGTCAGAGTGGCTGAGGGCAAGGCTGCACTGAGTATCTAAGGCTCAGTGGGCCCAACACGACACCCCAACCTCAGACTGCCAGCAGGGTGTCACTGCCTGGCTCAGAGCTCCCAGGAGGGCAGTGCCTAGGCAGGAGCCACTCCACCCTAGGAGGGACCCTGAACCTGCAGCCCCTGCCCCAGCCACCAGGGGTCACTGCTGCATGGTGCCAGCAGGGCTGGGGTGCAGAGCAGACAGAGCAGCAGCAGAGGCGGGTAGACATAGTGTGGGCAGTGCGCAGGCAGGCAACACCAACATACCCATTCTGCTGTGGGGCGCTGTCAGCCAGCGGGGGTGCCCCAAAGGGCCGTGCAGTCTTGTTGAGGGAAGTGCTGGGTGCAAAGGTGTACCTTGGGGTGTCTGCAGCAGGGGCCAGGGCCTGGGTGGAGACAGAGCCAGGCAGGGCGGGCAGGGGTGGAGGAATGGAAGGGGGCCTGGGCCAGAGCTGGGGAGAGGGGCACCCTTGCAGACAGTACAGCAGTGCTCAGCCCCACCCCTACACATCTGGTCGAGGCTTCAGGGGAGACAGTGACTCAGGTTTCAAGGGGCCCATTTGGGAGCAATGATTTCAGCCCACAAGTGCAACTAGCAGCACAGAATGGCAGAGGCAGTGTGGACAGACAGGCAAATCTGCATGGTCCGACCGTGTGGCAGCCCCTACCCAACTCCCAGTTTCCCACACTCTCCTGGGCTCCAGCTTTTGCCCCCTACTCCCAGATGGGGATGGGGGTACCGAGGCAGCTATGCAGAGAGGGTAGGCCAGCTATAAGTCCAATCCCACCCCTCTGCCACCCAGATGGCCCAGGCCTTGTTGCCTACCTTCCGGGGTTTGCTCTGAGCCGGCTGGACCCTGGAGGAGAACAGGAAGGGGTGACAGAGGGCTAGGGCCATGGGTGCCTCACCCACCAGGTGGGCCAGAGCACTTATACCTGCTAAGACCCAGGCTGAGGTGTTCCCCACAGGCTCGGATCTTGTTTTGGGCTTCAATGTGCGTGAGGCCTCCAGCATTCTCACCATCTATACTCAGAACCCAGTCGCCCACAGCTACTCCAGCCTGTGCAGCTTTGCCTCCAGGAGTGAGCTGTGGAGAGAGGAGGGTCACTAGAGCACAAGGCTACCAATCAAACTGAGGTCAACAGTAGTCAGCCTGCCTAAGCCGGCCACTTCCGGAACTCATAGGCCTCTTCATTCAGCATATTCTGGGCAGCTGCTGGATACTAAAGCTATCTGGGAGAGGTGGGGCTCAACTGAGCCTCACAATCACCCCAATCAACCAGTTCTAGTTATACACCTCCATGACCCTCCACACAGTTAAACTGCCATGATATCAACAAGCAGCCACCCTCAGGCTAAACCCCAAGCTTCTCAGTTCCAATTGGTCTCTTGACCAGGCTGTTCTATCTACCATGTGGCAAATTCCTCCCTGACACCCCTAGGTGCTTTCACTGACGTCTTACACTCCCAGCACCCTGTGCTGGGGTCACCTCCAGGGATCGGCCAAGATCCCCTGAGAGCCAGGAGTAAGCTCCATCATCTTCAGGTTCCCAGTGAACAATGACTGCCTGAAGGGGCCCATGGTGTTCGCTGGGGCTTCTTGACTGTAAATGAGTGACACCCAAGCCTTCAACTGCCACTCACCCTCTCCCCAATCCTTTGGGTTCTGGTTGAGGATCCCTGCTTACTGTGGCAAATGAGGGGCAATAGCAGGCTGGAAGGAATGGTCATCAGCATGAGCTGAGACCATCAGGGATGAATTCTGGGAAGTGGTGCACCTTGGTGACAGGAGTGGCATGTGCTGCCCAGGGGGTGAGAGACTACTTATGAAGGCCTCAAAGCAGGGTGGAGTGCCGTGGGGGAGGGGGCAGGACTGGGCCTTGAGGTTAGGATGTGTCATTAGCAGTTTGAAGGCCTAGGGTATGGTTATTTCTCAGGTCCCTGACAGAAGTGGCCTTGACAAAGTCCACTGGGCCCTCCCAGCCCTCTTTATCTAGCAATAGCAACCCAGACAGGGGCAGCACTGCTGTTTATGGGTCTATAAGCTCCTAGGACTGCCTGGACAGCTGACAAAGAGCCTGACATTGAACAGGCTTCTGTGGGGAAGTACTAGAAGGGAGAGTCATACTTCACATCTGGGGCGGGGGTAGGTACAGGCTGCCCAAAGCCCCAGGAGGCTCCTCAGGTGTGTGGGTACACAGACTGAGTTGAAGCAGGGAGAGGAGAGGCAGAGAGACCAGATACAGAGACTGACAACACTGGGGCAAGAAGGGAGAGATGGGTTTGATGGCTCTATTTCATGCTTGGGAGGTTGGAAGGGTAAAGCACTGGGTGACTCCTTCTTCACCTGCTAAGTGGTAAGAATACAGCTTACATTTTATATTTATTAGTTTTTGTTAATCCTCACCCAAGGATATTTTTCCCCATTGATTTGAAGAGAGTAGAAGAGAGGGAGGGAGGGGGAGAGATACAGAGAGAGACACATCAATTGGTTGCTTCCTGCATGCGCCCCAAATGGGGTCAGGGACTGAACCCACAACCCAGGTATTTGCCCTTTACCAGGAATTGAACCTGTGATCCTCTGGTGCATGGGCTGATACTCTAACCACCGACTCACACTGGCCAGGGAGCTTATATTTATTGAGCACCTAGTACTGCCACATTCTGACACTGAATCCTCCATAACCCTGTGGAAAAGTCTGAGATTATACCCATTTTACACATGGTGAAACAGAGGTTAAGTAACTTGCCTCAAGTTGCCCAGTTAGCAAGAAGTAGGGCCCAGATCCTCACCTTAAGGCTCCACTACACCAGGCCACCTCTGCTGTGTTGGGGCCCAACTCAAAGATCAACCTACCTGGAAAGACTCCCTGATCCCTGCCGGGTTTGGAGTCTGGATTCCCTATCTCACCTATAGTTCACTCCAACCTCTTACAATGGGTATAGAGATGTGACGCCCTTGAAAGGAAGTGACTTACTCAAGGTCATGATGAGTCAGTAGAAGGGAAACCTGGTCCAGCCACTCCTTACCCACAGGGCTGGCTCCTGAGAGCTGTGGACTGAGCCTGAGGTAGAGGTCTTGGGTGGGCAGGAGCAGCTGGCTCCCAGAAAGGGGGTGTGGAATTGGGACAACTTCCTTCCTAGGAGTGGGAGTAAGGAGGGCAGGAAGGACATGAGGGATAGGGGAGTGGTCAGAGAGGTGGAAAGAAAAGCTTGAGAGCTGGGAGGGCAGGAAGGGGGTGGGGGATGGCTGGAAAGAGAAGCAAGGAGGCCAGAGGGACTAAGGAGGGGAAAAAAGCCAGGGGGCTGGATACCACATGGGGTAAGGGGTGAGTCAGCCTGAGGGCTCCACTGAGCAGGAGCAGAGTCCCCCCTCCCCCATCCCAGACATTACCTCATCTACCAGGCCTGGGACTACAGCCAGCACTAACCCCTCCCTTCCCCCTCCATTCAGGGGTCAGGGAAGAGGGAGAGAAAGAGGACCATCTCAGCTCATAAAAGACCACCCCACCTACCCACCCGCTAGGGCCCAGGTCCAACTCCAGGGCTGGGCTTAGATGGTGGCCCCACCCACATGCTGGGGCTGCTGACAGGGGAGCCAAGAGTGCCCCCAATAGGCCACATCTGAAAGTCTATCCCCGGGGTTACTATGTTGCCCTTTCCCACCAATGAAACTAAGAACAGAGGCCAGCGAAGGCTGAAGGCTCCCTAGCCACACTGGCCAGCACTTTCCCAAGGAAAGTTTTCATGGCTTAAGGATTGTATAGGGATGGGTGTGTATAGTAGGAGGACCATTGCCCTTAGCTACTCTGCTGGCATGGCAGTTTCCAAGGGAAACTGAGGAAAAGTCCATGGGAAAAAGAGACCACCTCTCTGCCCTGCCATCAAGCCAAACTCCCACAGACAGACTCTGCCTTGCAGCCCCTCTCAGGCTGGGCAGTGCCTGGACAGCCTTCTGACCCCTTCCTGGCTGTACTAGTCCTGGGCTTCCTGACAACAGCTGCCTGCCCACTGGGTGCCTGGGTGGGCCTCTCTGGACAGGCAGATTGGGCACAGAAATTCTCCTTACGACCCCTAGACCACAGTCAGAGTCACCAGCTCAAGGGCTGGCCTCACTGTTTCTGGACAGTTTGTTCTCTATACCCCACAACTGACCCTACAGCTGGAGCCATGGCCTGGTAGTCACCAGCTGAGACACCTATCAATGAGGTTCAAGGGTCCAGACCTAGGCCAACCATTTTTGGCTCTGCAGACTCCAGCTACCACTTGGTCATCCTAGTATGGGGCTGCATTCTTGGGCTTATAAGGCAATCCCCCTGGCACAGGGAGGCGCCAGCTCCCAGCTCCGCCCCTACCAAGGCAGGCTTTCAGGGGGCTCAAGTCAGAGCCCTCCCTAGAGCCTATTCCACACTCACTTGGGATCAAAGGCCACTGCATCCCAAATGGGACCAGTGGGTGGGAATGGAAGTCCTCACATAGGCTGGAGAAACAACTCCACCCACTCACCCACAAAAACTGCAGCCATCCCAATGCTTGAATTCTAATCCCTGCTTGCCATGGAATCTGGAAGGAGCCCTTCCAACTCTCAGCCCCTGACTCACCTCACTTTTCCCTCATCTGGAAAAACAGATGATAATGGCTACTTTCTGGGTGGCAATGAGGTTGTAGTGAGATCTTGCAGTCAGAATGCCCTTCCTGGGGCCTGGCTCCAAGTACTGTATCACTCCTTCAAGCAGCTTACACACTTCCTAGAGACCTCAGGCTCCCCTCCTGCAGAATGGGCATTCCCTGGGCCTCAGAGGTGGTCCCAGGAGCTTTGTGGAATGGCATCAGTGCTGGGGAAGTAAGGGCTCCTGTCCCAGCATCCACCTAGTTAGTAATCCTTGTGGCAGGCCCCCCACACCTCTGGACCTGGACACCTCATGGTCTAATGGCCCTGGCTTAGATTCCTCCCATCACCCACAGGAAACCTGAGCACCCAAAGATTTCTGGGGGAGCCCCTCCCCCAACCTGGGCTCACCCGGGAGATGGAGAGGGGCACATTGAAGTCCTTGCCCCCCTGCAGCCGAAAACCCCAAGGGGCTGGTCCCTCCAGTTCCACCTTGAAGGAATCCATGGTGCCTGCCCCTGAGAGAAGAGAAAGGTGAGTAACCCGCATGGTAAGGCAGGTAGGCACAGCTCCGGACACCAGCTTTGGACTGGTGCCAGGGAGGCACGGGCAGACAAGATGCTGAGCACACCCAGGGCACCAGTAGGCAAAGCACCTTGTCAGGTTTGGCTGGGCTGCTGGAAAGACAGGGACAACTCCTCTCCTCCAGGGACTGGGAGGGTGAGGAGAGCCAGCATCCAGGTTTGAGGTTCTTTGCATCTAGGAGTGGGAATCAGAGCTAAAGTGACACGACCTCCCCCCAAACCAGGTTTGAGTCTCGGACAGTGAGGTGAGTCAGGGGCCGGCGCTCCTCTCCCCCGCCCCCAGGTCCAGGCAGGCAGGCCGCGGCTGGAGCCTGCTCGGACTATATAAGGCGTGTAAGCTGACACTGTGCAGAGCCAGCGGAGGGAGCACCCGGGGGCTCTTGACTTGAGGGGGAGGGGTGGGGAAGGAGGTGGCTGGAGCCGGACCTAGTAATTCTGGGACCGGTGGAGACTGCTGGGAGCCCTGACCCGATCTCTAGGCGCTGGGGGTAGAGAGGCGGCGAAGCCGGGGCCCCTGCGGAGATCGGTGGGGGTTGGGGTTTCAATGCGTGGCCAGTAAGGGGATTCGTTCCGGAGCGCAGTGGAAGTGGTGCCTTCCCCAGTGGCCTGCTACATCCAGACGTGACTCAGTTTACCCCTGGCCCCAGCCTGGGCCCTACGCCGTAACTGAGTCCCAGGCGCAGGAAGCAGCGTAGGCGCGGATCTGCCCAGCCGCAGCCGGCTTCGCCGCAGAAAGGCGGGGGCGGGGGCGGGGGCGGGAGCCCAGGCCCGCAGGAGGAAGCTCAGTGCTGGCCAGGACCTCTAATGCCCTCTGTGGTCCCTAGAAGCCCCATGCTCCCTGCCTGACCCATCCCCAGATACCCCTTGCGGTTGCCTGTACCTGGTTCTGCCCCGTCGGGGCGCTGCTCCGCGGCGGGGTCCAAGGAACTGCGTTGGGATCCACCACCCAGTTCTGGCCCCGCCCCTGCAGCCACCGTCCACTTTGAGCCCGCGGAAAGGGGCGGTGCCTGAGGCCACACCCAGAAGTCACGCCCATGGGCGGTCTCTCCCCCCCCCCCCCCCCGTGGAAGGTCCCACCCAATCCTTTCGTCCCGTCCAATCACGGAGTCCGATCACGCTTTGAGCAGGTAAGCACGGCCTGCCCGTCTCCTCCGTGGGGCGGGGTCTGAGCGGGGTCTGGGCGGAACCTCGGCTTCGCGACGCTTCTTGCCCAGCCGCTTGCGCCTCCCGCTGGCCAAGAGAAAAAAGAAAGCCGCCTTTGGAAACAATTGTCTCTGAACCTTAATTTCCTCCTCGGAAAAATGGAACAATAACACTCGCTTCGCAGGGCCACCTTGAGGATGGCGCAAGGCTCAGACATCAGCGGCTCCAGAATTTCTAAATCGGAGGGACTTGATGGGGGCCACATATAGAAGTGGGGTTGAGGGAGGAACAGGGGAGCTTGAAGCTAGGTTTGGAGAACACTGTCTACGAAAACAGAGAATGATGGCAGGAGCGGACGGAAGTGGAGGAGGCTGGGCCCTGAGCCTCACCTGTGGCCCTGCCCTCACTCCCACCCCCTTGACCATGGGACAGTCCACAGCTCGCTGCCCTTAGACCACGGCTCAGCGAGGACCCCATACTGTCGAGATGGGCTGTGTCCTGGTACACAAGAGCGGGAGGGGCCTCCACTGGGAATATGTCAGA